TAGTTGACACTGATTTTTCAGTCTTTTATCGAAGTGTACACTGAATGCACATTCCGAATCCTTCCTGTCAACCAACATTTTCTGTTTTTTCACGTACAAGAACGTAAGAGATCGAAGAGTGGATCAATTGTCTCGGTCGTTTGTGATTTTCTACAGACGGGTAAGGGCCCGGTTCGAATCCCTCCGCTGTCATGTTTCGTAAAGCCTACCCTTGTATACAAGGTTTTCATTTGCTTGAAAATTCAGGCTTTGTTTTTTAGGAACCCTGAAAATTCAGGGTTTTTTTTTTAGGAACACTGAAAATCAGGGTTTTGTTCACAGGGACCCTGATGCATCAACGTCCCTTAAAGTGAATCTGAGGGCCTGACCTAGTCTGAACTCAAAGAATTTATTTATGTACCTTGTCTGATTTTCCAGAGTTTTTTTCTTATGAGTTGTCTGAAATTTCAGCCTAATTTTACTAGGGTAGGCTGAGCCCCAGACTTGTATCGGGGGTACACTCTGCGCGCTTATCGGAGCAAAGTTTCCTAGAAGTTTCCTTCCGATATGCCCACTTCCGAGATGGCAGTGGAGTGCCAGGACGTGAGCAACGCTCACTTCGACAGCTGGGACATCCAAATACACTCGTTCGTCGAGAATATCTTCCAGTTACGCTGAGGAAATGGTTGCGTGATTACGAGATTTCTGAAGACAAAATCTCGTCACATGTAAGTTATCGCTAATGTATTGTAAAGAATAGGCGACTTTGATGCTGATTCGCTGTAAAAACATCTGCAGCACGCACTGGTGTGAATTGCGAAGTTCCTGATTCGTATTGAAAGTTTCGTGTGGCACTGTCTGATCCTCACATGCCACGCCAAGCAACAGTTTCTGCCTGCTGCCAGCTCAGCTGCGTGGCACTTGGCCCACCTGATACAGATCGGGTGAACGATCGAATCGCTTGAAAAGCAAATCCAAAACTGACAAAATCGGCACACATGCGAGAAAATGGGTACAGAACGGTAATCACACACACGACAAAACGAAATGAGATCAGCAGAGCAGAAACAACCATGCGCTGCACGTGACAAAAACACTGGAACGCCGCCGACATGAGCAGAGGCGATGCACGAGCACGAGCACGTTGCCTGATGCGTTGGTATGGTAGGCTGTAATCAGCCTCAATGCTATTATAACTGCTTTTACGAAACTGCATGAACATCTTAAAATTTGAAGTAACTCTGACAGTTCAGACCAAAAAAATTGTGCTTGTCTGAATTTTCAGACGAAAATTTTGAGGCACCTCTGACAGACAGAGTTCCAGGAGGGGTGTACTCTGAGGCCTCAGACTACCTCAAAACGAATCTAGGGGCCTGACTACCGTACCGTGCTTGTCCAGTCCAGTCCCTGTAAACCATTTGAAGGGAAATTACTAATCATTTTCAAAAGCTCCTAAGAAGACAATTCGTCAGTACAAACCTCGCTAAGAACCAACCTTAGTACGGCCATCGGCCAAAGCTGTAAGAAACAAAAATATTACTGACATTGCCATCATTGCGCCTGCCCTGCCGTCATCTTTGCCCCACAAGAGCTGCTGATTTCCACAAGCCGCACGAAGCAGAGTCGTACCATACATAACAGCCCTCCCACAAACGCAACCCCTCTGCCCCATCCTCCACCTACCAACCCCCCTTCCCCGCTAGCACAACCAAATCACCAACCTGTGGCTGCTCCAATCTGCATCTGCAACAATCACAACCGCATCAATCACATCTGCCACAGTCACTCCCCTCCCCGTCCTCATTGCCCCCCAGGCGGGGGCGGCATGCCTGGGCGCGGGGGGCCGTACATCCCCGGATGCCCCCCCGGCGGAGGGGGCATGCCAGGCCTTGGCGGACCCATCATCCCTGGCGGAGGCATTCCCCCCGGCGGGGGCATTCCCCGCCCGTACTGCATGGGCGGCGCACCGCCTGGCGGAGGCCCGCGCGGGGGGAATTGCGGAGGGGGGCCGCCAGGGGGACCGTAACCTGCGGGCGGGGGAGGCATGCCCGGGCGCGGGGGACCCTGGGGGTACATGGACGGGGGCGGGCCCATCCCGGGCGGGCGCATTCCGCCAGGAGGCGGGGGCATCCCCGGCCGCGGAGGGGCTCCCCCAGGGAAACCCGCGGGCGGGGGGAACGAGACGGGAGGCGGACGGCCAGGAGCAGCGCCAGCTGCGCCTCCAGGAGCCTGGTACGAGATCGGCGGAGCCGCAACTTGCGGGCGCGGCTGCATCAGCGAAGGCGCCGGTCCGCCCACTCCGCGCGCGGGTCCCGCCAAACCAGGCTGCGCTTGACCGAGCGGAACCGTCGGAACTCCGCGCCCCGCCGCTCGCCCAACACCGGGTCCCCCTGCCGCTGCGCCAGCGGCTCTCCCGCGGGACTCATCCTGCGGCGGCGGTCCTTCAACGGTAAGACTAACTACCTCCTCCCCGCGGAGAATAAGAAGCCCTAATGTCCGGCGCTCCTCGCGGTCTTCCGGAGCCTTGGAGCCCTTTTTGGGCGGCAGCTTGCGGAACTCCTCGCAATCCCCCAGGACGAGGTTCATGTGGCGATCGTAGGCCATGAATTTCCCGACGAGCTCGCGGCCATCGGTGACGGTGACGCGCATGCGGTAGTTGATGTACTGTAGCAGCTTAGATCCCTTGGACATCGACATGGCGCCTCGATTTTCAGCGCCGTCGACGGAGGGAAAGAGGATTAGTTATTAAAAGGACGACTTGTCAAATCATACGAACTAGAATTACTAACAGGACTGAAGGGAATGGAGGCAACAGGAAAAATGTCGAGCTTTAGGGTTGAGCCTCTCTTTAGATCAGAAGCGGGACAGCCATTTGCTGGTCGGACAGTGTAACATTTTTGAAGTGTGTGAGGAATATAAAATGCATGTTGCTATCCCCGGCACAATTCACTCGAAATTTGTGCTCCTCTGTGGTGTCGGGAATTTTTTAGGTGCCGTACAAGAATGTGTAACCAGAATAATTCACATATCAGATAGCAATATATCTTATCATCCCACATTGTATGACGTAATTATTAATTATAGAAATCTATTTCAAGAATAATAACATTTACAGGTATTCTTGGTGTGTACTTGATTACCCCATGTGGATAAGAGGTCCGAAGTCCATAGCAGGATTGCTGCTTCTCGGTGTATATGTCCCGGATGTCATCTTGCCGCGTATGTCAGAATCCCAATAGAGCACATGGCACAGTGGCCAATGGTGGCGCCAAGTTCTGTCAGCGCGACGAGGAATCCTGCACTGACAGGTCGAACAGCCTACTTTTCCTTATCGAATGGCTTCGTTCGCACGTCCACTTTTGAGTCGTTGCTGGCGACTGTCTGACGGCTTTTGAAACCTCGGGGTCGCCATCGACCTGCGTTTCGCGAAAAGTAGTTCTCGTCGCACATATTCGAAAACTTTGTGCATTCCTGGCGACAATCTGATGACAGTGGAGGGAAGCCTCGATTGAGCCTTGCGATGCGATGACCGTCAAGGTCTTGCGACGGACTCTCTTCGCAGGCAAGCCCACCAGTTCTTCCCCACCCCATCCCATCCAACCCATTTGAGGCACCTGCATCTGGTTTCCTAGAATCTACCATCTCCGCTTCTCAAGTCACCAACTAGTTGATTCACACATATCTTCCCAGAATTTAGTATCATTATTTTGAAGTCGCTGCTCCATTCTGCTTTCTTAGTTTCTCCGCGGTTTCTTACCCTACCTGGTCGACAGGACTATCGTCATCATGCCGCAGATCCAGTATTCTGAGAAATATTTTGACGACGTCTACGAGTACAGGTATCCAGCTTTTTACCGCTTGTCATCCACCCTAGTGCAGGACAGCAGCCAAACTAGTAGTCCATGGCCCTGAAGCTGAACGTTTCGTTTTGTCGGGTGCCTCTTGCAGGCATGTAGTTCTCCCCCCTGATGTGGCGAAGTTGCTTCCGAAGAACAGGCTGCTGTCCGAGGTAATTGATGCCATTGGCTTGCTCACTGAGAATATGGCATGCATGGTCAGAGTTTCAACCTGACAGCTTTTGTGTTGCTGATGTTGACTGTGTGCAGGCTGAATGGAGGAGCATTGGCGTGCAGCAATCTAGAGGATGGGTTCACTACGCTATTCATCGGCCAGAACCTCACATCATGCTTTTCCGTCGGCCACTGAACTATGGACAGCAGGTTCAGCCGCCGACGCAGCAACTTCAGCAGCAAGTAGGAGCATAAGATAGTACCGCGGCGACCTCATACGGCTGGTGCAGAGGATTTGACCGAACCAGCGTCACCACTCCTCTGTCGCCAAGCATAACCTGTGTCTAGAAAAGAACAGTCTGTCAATACTCAACGCCTAGTTGCGATTCTATTCTATTCTATACTTCGATGTCATCCAGGCTTTACGGCACATCTTCCATGCACGGTATGCTTTGTACCATGCTAAAATATTGAAGTCATTCACTCTCTTGGAATGCATGGCAATTAGTGTGGTTGGGAGTACCTCCAACCAAGGTATCTTCTGCCGTGGTGGTTGTGACCAAAGACGCATCATGTGCAAAATCGGTCTTCCATTCCATGGTATTAATCTCTTGCGTATTGCATTCAAGACTTCCAGAGGCTTTTTCTAACCACACCGAATTACGATCCCGCATAGGATTTATCACAGGATCGGCGTCGAATGGAGACTCCTCACTGGGTGAGACCCACATTTGTCCAAGTGCTCAGCCAGTTTCCCCCTTTTCTTGCCGGAATGATGATCCTTCATGATCAAAGAGTGATATGCCAGAACATTGTTTACCCTGAATCAGCACTATATCAGATATTCAAACCCTTGGTGAATGAGTGTAGTCTAATTTATTATACTGAGTCAGTTCTGGTCTGGAAAACTGAGATCCCAAAGATCGCACGAAATCAGACTGGTTACCGATCTTCACGCATCTAATTATCTTCAAAGGTATCCTAGCGTAAACAAGTTAAACACAAAGCCACTCAAAGCAACTGTACAGCAGCAATAGATGGAATTTTCTCCCTGAGCTTCTGAGTGACAGCCACTCTGACCGTCATTACTCCTGCTGCGGGCCCATCAATCCTGACCTTCACAATCGGCGGATCAATCTTCACAAGGGTCAGCTCCCCACCACCCGTTCCTACCAAATATGGCCTGATCTCGGACAGCACCTGAAAGCAAAAAAGAAACTATCAGTACAAATCTCTGAACAAACAACACACCATAATCAGGTAAAACACGATGCATCAGCCGAGGACTCACCTTTTCCACGTTCTCCTCGTCCAGTGGAAGGCCCGTCTCCTGGTCCGTGATCTGCTCGACGGAGACTATCTCTGGAATCTTCTCCATCAACCTCCGTTCAATCCCCATCTTCATGGTCATTGTGGAACTCGGGCACGAGCCACACGCACCCTGAAGCCGCAGCTTCACGACGAGACCGTCAATGTCGTACAATTCCACATTGCCGCCGTCCGCCATCAAGTACGGTCGAACCTCGTCAAGAACCTTCTCAACGTTTTCCTCAGTCAGCTCCAAGCCCTCGGTAGAGACATCGCCTTGTGAAGCAAGAGCGGCTGCTGCAATACACAATAGCATGGATGCTCAATTGCTCCGGCTGATTGACGTGATGTAATTTTGTGAGTTTTATGCCAGCGTACCTGTAGGTTCTCTTCTGGAGTACCTCTGCTCCCCGATAATCTCCGCGTTTCTGACTAAGGGCGCGGCACGAAACTGCATGGTAGAAACGTTTCCCGTCATAAGCGAAACAAGTTGAAGAAGAAAATACGCCTGGAAAAGACGTGATCCACGAGCTAAGCCTCACCTGGCGACCTAGACGTGACGGACCGGTTGCTGAACTGACTAACGTCGATGCTTCCCTGACGACGCCACTGAATGGAGCGAGACGAAGCGAGATAGTTGCCATGGTTCAACGGAACTTCGATAAGAAAGAATCGGCTAGCTGCGTCAACAAGATTTTACCCGCTCCACCACACAATTTTCAGCAGCTCCTAAAAAAAGGAGCAGAGTAAACTTGTGTAATTGCTGTTCACGCAACGTTGCTGTAATTGCGATTCTAGTCACTATGCTTCAAGACCGCCGACCCTCCGTTCACGCCGCTCACGCAACGTTGGGCGTCACGCTCCTCAGTCACGCAAGGACTCCTCTGAGGTTACGGGAGTACTGCGCCTGGCACGCACAGCTGTATGGCTGGACTGGGATAGTGTGGGGGGGGAGTATGTGTGCTTAGGCTGGGCTAGGGGTACGTACGTACAAGAGGGAAGGGTTGTGGTGGTTGTAGGGGATGGATGGAGTGGAAGGGGGAATGGGGGGGGTATCTTGGAGGAGGAACCTCTGACCTGCACGGGACCAGCTTCTTGGCTGCCGTTCAATTCAAACATGCTCGGGAAAAGGCAATGTCAACTCCAATGTTTCTATGACACTTGGCGGAACGAGGTGACGTGGCAGTTGTCGGCAGTGCTCAAGAGTGCTATTCGCGAGTGGCTGTGTTCGTGTACGAAGCAGCATTGAATCAATAAGTAGAGTTACAAACAACGAAAAAACAATGCCGCTACGGCCATAAATGTACTACCAGGATCATTTGATGTGCCTGAAAAAATACTTGGTAAAAAAAAAAAAACACACACATTCTTTTAACCTACAACACAGCACTCATTGTGGGCTGACTAAACGTATAACGCCTCGATCAACTTCAAGCATTCCCTGGTCCTTTTGAAAGCCTGCGAGATCGTCTGGTTGGAGCCACTTCCCAACCGTCGGCCACCTCCTCGTGTCAGCAATGGCTCCGGAGCAGTTTCTTTAGCAGCTCGACGCGAACCCGAACCAGAAGCTCCCATCCCAGCACCCCTTCCTGGCGCATCTTCATCCATGGCTCCGCCGTTTCCCACTTCCTCCACATCAGAATCACTGTCGTCGCTGTCAACATTGCGATTTGCCTGTGAGAACGCAAAAAGCACACAGAAAGAAAGAAAGAACAATAAAAATAATAATTAAATAACCTAAACTAATTCTTTTGACTGTACCATCTACTACATTCATATCCTCTCCTCTGCCAGTGCTAACATCCTGCCCACACTGACTCACCGCTTTGCTCTGCTGCAGTGCCGCTCGACTTCCCTTGGCAGCAGCGGCTGCTTCCTCTGCTTGCAGCTGCTGCTCAAGCATGAAGCTCACCGCCCTGCCAATGCCCACTTACCACCCTGCCCACACTGACTCACCGCTTTGCTCTGCTGCAGTGCCACTCGCCTTCCCTTGGCAGCAGCGGCTGCTTCCTCTGCTTGCAGCTGCTGCACGAGCGTAAAGTTGCCGTCCCGACACACCTTGAACACTTCAACTACCTTATCTGCCACCTGTGGGAAAGAGGGGGGCAAGTGCGAGACGATGATTAAGGCGCCTAATATCCGTCCTCTGCCTGCAGTTGCTGCACAAGTGTGAACTGCCGTCCCGACACGCCTTGAACACCTCCACTACCTTATCTGCCACCTGCCAGGAGGAAGTAAAGGAAATCAACACAACGCAATCACGCCCACTTCTTCACCCAGGCTTACTTTGAGCACAACCTATCTTCTCTTCCCCCCTTGCCCTCCTTACACACCTCTCGCAGGCTCCCATCCTCCACCTCACTGTCGCTTCGTGCAGCTGGCACGTATACGAGATTACCCCAATGATCACATTTGCAGCTGTTACCAACAATCCCAAGGCCAGATTCAACACTCTCCTCTCCTCTTACCTCTCTCAAGCTACCATCCTCCACCTCCATGTTGAAGTCCCTCACCGTCGCCTACCGATTCTTCCCTTGAATATGAATCTTCCTCTCACCTCTCTGAGGCTCCCATCCTCCACCTCCATGTTGAAGTCCCTCACCGTCGCCTCGTCCAGCCACTCCTCCAGCTCGTCCCCATATACGACTCCTGGTACACTCACCATAACGAAGAGAAACACGATATAACAAATACATATATAAGAAAGCAAAAACAAAATGTGTCAAACATCCCGATTCTCAGCCTAGTTACCAAAAGACAATATAGGGACTAATTGGCGGCTTGGCCACCACAAATATTCGCTCCCCATAACGGCTCCGTCGCTTCCCCCTCCAACCCCTTTCCCCGCCGCGTTTGCTGTAGCAGAAGGGAACCAGGTCCGCCTGCACGTGTTGCCCCTTCTCCCTCTCTCCCCCGCTTACTGCGCACACCTCCCCCCTTCTTCCCCGCTTACCGCGCATATCCCCCTCCCTCCCCCGCTTAGCGCGCATACCCCCCTCTCGCCCCCCCTTACCGCGCTTGCTGTAGCAGAAATGCACCAGGTCCGCCTTCATGTGTTGCGCCTTCTCCGCGCTCCTTCCGCCGCCCCACTGATTCTCCAGCGCCAGCTGCAGCGCGGTCCAGCGGGCAAACACCAGGCGCACGCCCTCGCGGAACCACCCGTCCGCGTGCTGCTCCGCCGCCGTTATGGGGACGGGCACGGGGCCGGGGAGAACCGCTCCGCTCCGCAGCTCCATGGTCGGGGAAAGACGGCGCGAAGGGGGAAATATCCGGAATAGCCTTTCGCGTGGTATTCGTGCGGAAGAAGTTGCGCAGAACAGATTGCGCGGAAATAATATCCGCGGTAAGTAGTTTGCGGAAAAAGGAGTGGTGCACTAGACTGTTGGAAATGAAGTCATGGCTGAGAAAGTGGGAATGACACGACAAGTGAAGGGGAGAGGGGATAAGCGAAGGGGTTGAGTTGGGTTTGAAGGTTTGTCTCGAACATGCTGGATTCATGCGGTGTAAATACATTCTGTCTTTTCCGGTCTAAACGGATCCTCTCGTCACGAGTATGGAATCCACTTCGTGTTTGCGGTCCGTCCCAGACATTCCCAAGGTTGCTCTGACACTCCCACCAGGCATACCCAGCTCATGCTGCTCGTTCCAGCTTCAGCATATTTTGAAGACCTAGTCTCTCGTCTCTGCTCTTGTGGGCCTTAGCTTGTACTAAAAGTCGATCTCTCCCAGTTGTATCGCTTGAGATAAATTGTTTCAAGACTATCACGACTGCGGTTCCGTGGTTTTGTTGAGAAGGTTCCGTCGCTAGTCCTCAGTCGCCTTGCGAGTTCGTTAGCTTCCGCGATCGTAGGGTTCGCTAGACTCATTAGCCTTACGAAGAATTCCTCGCTACTACTCAGTCGTCTTCCGAATTCGTTAACCGGCTTGCTGAGAAGCCTTGCGAAGATTCCTGATCTCGCTGATCCGGTTCCTTCGCTGATTTAATTCCTCCGTCATTTTGAAACCTCGTCAGCATTCACGATCATCTCCTAGGTTCGAATCCTGGTGACGCGATCACGTTCCTTGAAGACACGTGGCTGCCTCTCAGGCACCCAGCTGGCGCGACCAGACGCAGAGAGCGTGAACGGGGTACCGTATAGTATCCATGGCTGCTCATACTCATAGCGGATCTAGTAACCCTCGCAATAGCGCGTACAGCGGACCCTTGTCGCCATCAGTTGTGGCTAGAAGGGGGGGTGTGAATATGGCTACAGCGGGAGGTGTGACTACAGCGGGGTCGGTGAGCGACAGCAGCAAGGCGGCCAGCGCGCTATGGCTCATGGCGTCACACTTCGAGAGTACACGTCAGATTCCGCAGGTGAGGTGCTGACGTGGTTTCTCCAGGTCATTCTTCTATTTGAACTTTGTCCCCGTTACAACTTTATCCCCTCTCCTCCTCCCACACACACACCCCGCTCCAGCTAGCTAAGTCTCTGGAAGTCGTGTGTGTCAGAGCAACAAGACGTAATTCAACGTCAAATTACAACCCCTCCTACGTACTTCCCCTCCCCCCCACCTCCTTCCTCCAGTTAGTGAAGTGTCTGGAAGCCGTGTGTCAGAGCCCCCAGCCGTTCCTCCCTCTAATGGAGGTGCGCACGCGCTGCTGGCTGGCGCACGTGCCCCTAACCCACTGTGAGGCACACAGATAATGCGCGCTGACCTGCGTTGACCCACGTTGACCCCCTCACCTCGCCTCCCATTCCCCAACCCCCCTCTGCAGCTAGTGAAGTGTCTGGAAGCCGTGTGTCAGAGCCCCCGGCTGTTCCTCCCTCTCGTGGAGGTTCGCACTCGCTGCTGGCTTGCTCAAGTGCTGCTCGGGCACACATATAGTGCGTGTTGACCCGCGTTGACCCCCTCACCTCCCCTCCCACCCGCCCCCTCCACCCCCCACCAGCTAGTGAAGTGTCTGGAAGCCGTGTGTCAGAGCCCCCAGCCGTTCCTTCCTCTTGTGGAGGTTCGCACGCAGTGCTGGTTGGCCCACGTGTTGACCCCCGCACCTCGTCTCCAACCTGGACACTCCCCTACCCCTCTTGCAGTTAGTGAAGTGCTTAGAAGCCGTGTGTCAGAGCCCCCAGCCGTTCCTCCCACTCGTGGAGGTGCGCACGCGCTGCTGGCTGGCGCATGTGTTGCTCAAACACTCCCGCAACGTGCTCCACGCGAAGGCGCATCTTGAGAGAGCGGTGAGATGTGGTGGTGTGCGGTGGATAACAGTTCTAGTAAGGTACGGTGGATGATCGCACGTGCTGCTGGCTGTCCCACGTGCTGCTGAAACACTCGCGCAATGTGCTGCATGCCAAGGGGCACCTTGAGAGAACGGTGAGAAGCGGTGATGTGCGGTGAGACGTGGTGTTGTGCGGTGATGTGTTGTAATTGTCAGTTGATCCGAGGTCTAATAGGGGCTTGCACACGGTGCTGAATGGCCCACGTGCTACTCTCACACACTCCCACAGCATTCTGCACGCCAAGGGGCACCTTGAGAGAGCGGTGAGATGTGGTGGCGATCGGTGCATTGCGGTTTAATGGGTCTGGTCTAACCTGATAGTGGTCTCTTCCTGGTGCTGGCTGGCCCATGTGCTGCTGTGCAGATGACGCCTTCCTGCGTTTCCCCTCCTTCCCAACCCACCTGTGGCGCACTTTCATTCCCTCTTCCCTCTTACCCCATCCACACCTTTCCAAACCCTTCTGAAGGCATCCCTGGAAATATCCCCCTCTATTGTACGGCCCCTCTCTGCCTCTTCCTGCAGCTGCTTTTCCATTACCCACTCTGCAACCTCCCTATGACTGCTCCCCCACCTTACCCACTCTCTTGCCCCACACAGCAAGTGCTTCTGAAGGCCATCCCTGGAAATATCCCTCTCAAGTGCACCGCCCTCTCTCTGCTCGCCACGTGTTACCACCTGATTGGCCACGCTCACTTTCACAAGCACGTGCTTCAAAAGGGCCTCGATTTAGTCACACACCAGCTCGCCACACTCCCACGCCCGGACTCCCAAACCTGGGGCTCAGTTTCGGGCTCCGTGCCAGGTCCCAGCTCAGCTGCATGCTCGGGGTCAGGTTTGGGAGGAGGTTTGGGCGGAGGTTCGGGCGGAGGGTCGGCGGCGGAGCTGGCTCGGTGGATGGGGGTGTTTTCGGTGGGGATGGCGGGGCGGTTGCTGGGGGAGGGGGATGTGGAGGGGGCTGCAGGTGCCCTGGGGAAGGGGATGGCTGCTGTACAGACGACGGGGGATAGGGGAATGATGGTAAGTGTGTGGGTGATGTGCAGGTGCGTGTGTGGATACAAGGGTGTGTGTGCTGGGGGAGGCCGATTTTTTAGTCGACTAAAAAATCGACTTACTACACGCGGATACAAGGGTGTGTGTGCTGGGGGAGGGGGATGTGGAGGGGGCTGCCAGTGCGGTGGGGAAGGGGATGGCTGCTGTACAGACGACAGGGGATAGGGGCATGGTGGTAAGCGAATCTTGGTAATTTGAGGGTGCGTTTATGGGTGAAGTAAAGGTTCGTGTGTATAGTTTTGTATGTATGTAGCACGTTGTCAGGGTAACTGTTGGGGGAAGGGGGATGTGGATGGGGCTTCTGGTGCGGTGGGGAAGGGGATGGCTGCTGTACAGACGACAGGGGATAGAGGCATGGTGGTACATGTGTGTGGGGGGTGGGGGATGGGGGGTGTGTATGTGTGAGAGTGTGTATGTTCATGAGTGTGTATTCACTGTCATCTGCATGCTGCTCGGTGTAACGGCACTTGGGAATCAGGGCATGGGAAAGCATATACATTTGCGGTTGTATCTGCTCCTCATCCTGGGTATCAACAACTCTAGAGTTCGTGGCTGAGTGTTGGAACCAGTGAGAAGCTGACATGCCATTCCTCCCTTCCCTTCCGCCGTTCCTCCTTTTCCCTGCGCCCTTCCTCCATACTCGCCCTTCCTTTACACCCTCTCTCCTTCCATACCCTATCTCCCTCCTTCCCGCCTCCCTCCCCACCCCATGGTACACTTCCCCACCAGCTGCTGCTATCTGCTTCGCTGCTGCACATTCGCATCTCGACCGTCCAACACACGCCACAGCAGATCTCAGCCCTCCTTTCCGACTGCACCTCGCTGTGGCAGCAGATCCCACCACGTCAGCAGCCAGACTACCGTGGCCTGTTCGTCTACGTCCAATTACTGGCTGCCACGTGGCACCTCCGCATGGCTGACTACAACCAGGCCAAGGCTGACGTGGCAGCAGCAGAGGAGGCGCTGGCGGGAATAAGCCCTGCTGCAGCGAATCGTGAGGTGCCAGCTGGCAGCTCGCCAGTTGCTGCGTCAGCGCCATGTCAGCAGCAGCAGCAGCAGCAGCAGCAGCAGCAGCAGCAGGGGGGGAATGTGCATGCAGAGAGAGTGGGGCAGGATACAGGAGCAGTAAGAGCAGTGGGCGTAGCAGGAGTAGTGGCCCCAGGAGAACCAGGAGAGGCGTCAGGAGCATGTTACAGGGACGATCCATTGATGCGGTTACCACTTGGCCCGCCCCACATGCTCAATGCCGATTGGCTGCCGCTGCCAGCTGTCAGGGCGGTGGCGGGCCTGCTAAAGGTCATGCTTAGCCGCCCGGGAGGAAAGCTCCTGGAAGCTGAGGGGGCGTTGAAGGAGGAGAGGGAGATGCTGCGAGGTGAGTGGAGTGGGTGTGTTGTGGGGGGGATATGTGCGTATGTGTGTGAGTGACAATGCGGCAAGTGAGGTGTGTGTGTGAGTGACAATGCATCGAGTGAGGTGTGTGTGTGAGTGGCAATGCATCGAGTGAGGTGTGTGTGTGAGTGGCAATGCGTCGAGTGAGGTGTGTGTGTGTGGGTGGCAAAGCGTCGAGTGAGGTGTGCGTGTGAGTGGCAATGCATCGAGTGAGGTGTGTGTGTGAGTGGCAAGCTCCTGGAAGCTGAGGGGGCGTTGAAGGAGGAGAGGGAGATGCTGCGAGGTGGGTGGGGTGTGTGTGTGTGAGAGTGTGAGTATAGTGATGCGGCCGTTGATGTGTGTGTGTGAGTGGGAATGTGGTGAGTGGGGTGTTATATAGCATCACTGCGCATGGTCAAGATTATGTATTGCTGCCAATTCATCCAACGCTGACTCGCCATCCCTCCCATCCTTCCCTTTCGTCACCTCTCATGCCCAGTCCTTCCCATCTTCTTCTCCCTGTTTCCTCGCACTGCGTCCAGTTTTCAGTCGTCTAGTTTCTTTGTCGCAAAACCCTTTCTTGCCTGCACCTGTTCGCATGCTCCTTGCCATCCTCCTCTCATTCTCATCATTGTTGAAACCCTAAACCCGAAACCCTCATTCTCCCAGATGAGCTGCACCGCATCGGGGTCCTCCCGGGCTCTACAGGTACTCTCACTCACACCTTTGCGTCTTTTGAGAAATGTGAAGAGTCGTTTTTTAGATTCCTCAAGGTGCCTCCATGCACTTAGGGCAGGCCCCTGTTTGATGCGTTATACAGCCTACAGCCCTCGACACTACTGTCTGCATTTCCGTAACTACCCTGTCATACCCTTTCAGCCACCCTGTCATTCCGGTTTTCCTTAATACACTTGCCCCCTCTCGCTCGCTCCCATGCTCCTTGCCACCACAGAGTCTAGTTTGGAGCCGTGGAGTGTTGCGTGGGTAGGCACGCTCTTGCTCTTGCTCCTCTACGTCTTGGAGGCCCAAATGGTGCTGGCACTGACTTCCACGGAGTATCCCCTCTCTCAACGGGTAAGCAGAGAGAGAAATACTAGGGTGTGGGGGGTGTGGGGGATGGAATGGGTTAGAAGGGGGATGGGCGTGGGCAGGCACGCTCCAACTCACGCTCCCCCTCATGCTCCTTCACATCTTAGCGGCTCAAGCACTGTGCTGATTTCACAACGGGTAAGTCGAGCTGGGGAACATGGAATTGGAGGAAAAGGTCCCACTGTTTCGGTTCGTGGACAGGATGAGCTGTCATTTTTCCATTTTTTTGGGAGTCACTTTTGAGAAAATTAGAAACTTGGTTTTGAGACGTCTCAAAACAGGATCAGCTGACTCATCCCCGCCTGGAAGTGAAATTTGTTTCTCCACATCCCCGCCTGGAAGTGAAATTTGTTTCTCCACATCCCCGCCTGGAAGTGAAATTTGTTTCTCCACATCCCCGCCTGGAGGTGAAATTTGTTTCTCCACATCCCCGCCTGGAAGTGAAATTTGTTTCTCCACATCCCCGCCTGGAAGTGAAATTTGTTTCTCCACATCCCTGCCTGGAAGTGAAATTTGTTTCTCCACATCCCCGCCTGGAAGTGAAATTTGTTTCTCCACATCCCCGCCTGGAAGTGAAATTTGTTTCTCCACATCCCCGCTTGTTCTCCTTTACTACCAATCATTTCAACCAACCTACCAGGTTCTGTTGGAGATTTGTGATTGGTCAAGTCGCTTCCCGACCCTGCTGGCCTCGTTCGGTCCGAACCTTCACCTCTTGCTCGGGCAGTACGCCCATGCCACGATTGATCTTCCAATCGCAATCCGCCACTTCAGCACCGCTGCTGCCAAGGTTCGTGACTGCCTTGCTCTTTCTATCTCTTTTGATCTCTCTAGCTTCCTTACTCTCTTGCTTTCTAGCCACGCCTCTCCATTTTCTCCATTTCCATTTCCATTTTCACCCCCACAAATAATCACTCTCGTTTCTGTTAACCTTGCCCCTCCCGCACACACACACTCTCCTCCAGGCGGCATCCTCCTCCCCCCACCTTCTCCACCACCGCCCCATCCGCTGCCTCTCTCTCTGCCTCTCTGCCATCGTGCATCTCACCATCGACGACCCCTCCCATGGCCACATCTCGCAGGCAAGTTGTTGTTGGAGATCTATTAAATAAATAAATAAATAATAAACAAACAAAGAAACAGGGGGGGTAGTGGGGGTGGGGAAAAGGGGGAGGGGTGGAAGGAATCTTACATTTGAAACCCAAAAGTCAAGACCTAATAATTCACATTTGCTGTAGGAAGATCCAGAGATCCTTCTTGCTGTGATGGCACATCGTGCAATCTTGCTGATACAAAGAGTTCGTTTGGAGTCGACTCTTTGCTCGTCCCTTTTTCCGCCTCTCTTTTTGTCATTCACTCCCTCTCTATTCAGGCAGTGGACATTCTATCAGCTCTGGAGCAGGAGGAAGCCCAGCACACCCAGACGCGGCAACTGCAGCAGCAGCAACAAGGGGCAGCATTGCCGTCACCATCAGCAACAGCGATTGCAGCAGGAGACGAGAGGAAGAGGGAGCAGTGCGCCCAGCTGCTGGCAACGGCACTGCTGGCGCTGAGACAGGGGAACCTCGTGGATGCCAGGTGGGTCTCTAGGTGGTGCCGTGTGTGTTGGTGCCAGGTGGGTAAGGTGGATGTGGTGAGGCAAGGCAACATGTGTGTAGGAACCAGGTGATCAATGTCAAGCCATGCGAGTGAGGCACACGTGTCAAAGCACGGGAGCAGCAGGGGATGGGATGATGAGGGAGCAGTGTGCGCAGCTGCTGGCAACGGCTCTGCTGGCGCTGAGACAGGGCAACCTGGTGGATGCCAGGTGGGTCTGACATTTTAGACTGAGGTCGTTTTTTATTGTGGATGTGAGGTGGTTCTGGCCTTTTGGATTCATTGTGGTCTTGAAACGAATAACCCCGAGTCTAAGTCGTCGCTTTGGCTAAACTAACACATGTAATTGGCTAAACTAATCTAAGTCTCTCTCGTCATGTGTATATTCCAGTCCGCTTCTTCCGTTCTTTCCACGTGGCAGGAGTCGGCTTGCCCAAGGATTGTTGGTGACTCACCGCCAGCTCAGCAACCACCAGATTGCCGCCCATTTCCTGTTGGCCATAGGCGGCATTGCACTGCGCACCAGCGACCTTGTAGGAGCAAAGGACATCCTGAGATCTGGACTGACTCTCTTCCGGGCGGCAAGAGATATGCAGGGTGTGGTGGCTGTTGCAGCGGAGTTGTCACGTGAGTTATTCTATTTCTCAATTATTTACCAATTATGCAATGTCGAAAACACATAGCACTGCGCACCAGCGACCTTGTTGGAGCAAAGGACATCCTGAGATCTGGGCTGACTCTCTTCCGGGCGGCAAGGGACACGCAGGGTGTGGTCGCAGTGGCGGCAGAACTATCGCGTGAGTTTGGAAAGGGGGGTAAGGTAGGGGAAGGGGGGGGAATGGGGAGGGGGGAGGGGATTGTTGAGTCTATTAAAAAAGGTTCACTCTCTTTCGGGCGGCGAAGGATACCCAGAGCGTGGAGGCTGTTGCGTCAGAGCTATCACGCCCTAGACGCAAAAATCGCCCCATGGATTCTCAAAAGTCACCATTCTCCTCGTCTTCCCCCTCTCCTTCCGCACTTGCTCCCCTTTCTCTAGTCTTGTACAGGTCAACAGGCGAGGCGATGGCGGAGAGTCAGAACGCGGCGTATCTGAATCGCAAGCGCGCCAAGCCAAGGCGACTCACAAGTCTCGTCCCCTCCTTTCTCCCCCTCCCCTCCCCCTCTGCCTCTCCAGTCTTGTACAGATCAACAGACGAGGCAATGGCAGAGAGTCAGAACGCGGCGTATCTGAATCGCAAGCGAGGCGAACTGAGTCAGCAGGTCACAGCTGCGGTTGGCACACCAGGGCATGCCATTCTGCTACAGGTAATTATTAATTTTGTATGCTATGTAGGAGTTGCTTCTGATAATGTCTGAAAGGTAATGTTTCTCTTCCAATGGAATGAATACAGGCTGAACATTTGAGTTCGCACTGATAGAACGACATAGCTCCCCCTTGCAGTGGGAATGCCACTCATTACCTGTATGGTCACTTTTGAGTCGACTCAAAAGCCCCCTTGCAGTGGGAATGCCACTCATTACCTGTATGGTCACTTTTGAGTCGACTCAAAAGCCCCCTTGCAGTGGGAATGCCACTCATTACCTGTATGGTCTCCCTTGTGCTTTCCCCCGTTGACCATCGCAGCATGGTCCTCCTCTATGAGGCAGTGAATCATTCTTCAAGCTTCTTAACCGCGCATATCGCCTCATCAATCACGTGAGAAGTACTATATCGTGAACGCTGCCCCGACACTCTAGCTTTGGCTTGGCGAGGCGGCCATTTCTGCACCTGATGGTGGTGCTGCTGAAAAGTCTTCAACTCAACGTCTTTCCTTCGCCTGCCTCTGCTACCGTGTGAAGCAACACATGCAGCTGCAGTCTGTACACTTTATATTTCTGGACAATGTGGTACTTATTTCTGCCAGCCATTATATCAGTAAAACTTGTTTCTGTAATATGGCCAAGCTTTCACAGTGCGCAAGATATAAGCAATGTAGCATATATTGGCACTAATTGTGCCTTTCGTGTTACACGAGGTCTGAGTGGCTGACAAGACCCGCTCCGTATACCCCAAGAATAGTACGTGAATCACTACTACTGGTAAACCCAGGATGAAGTGGCATATGCCCAACACGTTAAGTTCCAACCCTAAAGAAAAAGAAAAGGAAGAAAGAAAGAAAATAAACCAAACCCTGTTTCGATCTTACCACCCATGAACAGTAGGAAAACAATTCTTTCTACCCATGAACAGTATGAGACCCATCAAAGAGATCCGCATTGGCCACATGAGCTTGCACTGCAGCAAGCACATGATTCATCCCCGCTCCCGAACCTCCGCTTATCAACGCCGGACCTGCTGCTCCGGTCCCCAAACCTGCTGCTGCTGCCGGAACGGTATTCGCCGCACCAGTTCCCGCTCCCCTCACCCCTCCGTACCCCAGACCCCCCCCACCCATCCCAACATTGCTCTCCCCCTCGCCCTCATTCCCCCCACCATCTCCCCCCACCCCCCCCACTCCGCCCACTCCCCCGTCCCCCTCCCCCTCTTCCCCTAGCGCCCCCCCCGCCCCTTTCTCTCCCTCTTGGATCAGCCGTGTGAGAAGCTCCTCTATCTGCACTGCTGTGGCGTCCCTGTTGGCCTTGGTGAGTGTGAGCACGGCTGAATGGGACGACAAGGGGTAGAATAGAAGAGGGGAAGGGGGAAGGGTGGGGGACACGATGCATGTGGCATGAGGGGCAGACGCACGAGGGAGGAGCACGAGATGAGGCATCTCGATCTGCTCTGCTGTGGCGTCCCTGTTGGCCTTGGTGAGAGTGAGCACGGCTAAACGGGGGAGGATAAGAGAGGGGGGACGAAGGGAGGATAGGGAAGGGGTAGCATGAGGCACGAGGCAGGGAAGAGTCACAAGGGCGTGTGGGCAGCTCCTCTATCTGCTCTGCTGTGGCGTCCCTGTTGGCCTTGGTGAGAGTGAGCACGGCTGAACGGGGGAGGATAAGAGAGGGGGGACGAAGGGAGGATAGGGAAGGGGTAGCATGAGGCACGAGGCAGGGAAGAGTCACAAGGGCGTGTGGGCAGCTCCTCTATCTGCTCTGCTGTGGCGTCCCTGTTGGCCTTGGTGAGTGTGAGCACGGCTGAACTGGGGAGGATAAGAGAGGGGGACGAAGGGAGGATAGGGAAGGGGTAGCATGAGGCACGAGGCAGGGAAGAGTCACAAGGGCGTGTGAGCAGCTCCTCTATCTGCTCTGCTGTGGCGTCCCTGTTGGCCTTGGTGAGTGTGAGCACGGCTGAACGGGGGAGGATAAGAGAGGGGGGACGAAGGGAGGATAGGGAAGGGGTAGCATGAGGCACGAGGCAGGGAAGAGTCACAAGGGCGTGTGAGCAGCTCCTCTATCTGCTCTGCTGTGGCGTCCCTGTTGGCCTTGGTGAGTGTGAGCACGGCTGAACGGGGGAGGATAAGAGAGGGGGGACGAAGGGAGGATAGGGAAGGGGTAGCATGAAGCACGAGGCAGGGAAGAGTCACAAGGGCGTGTGAGCAGCTCCTCTATCTGCTCTGCTGTGGCGTCCCTGTTGGCCTTGGTGAGTGTGAGCACGGCTGAACGGGGGAGGATAAGAGAGGGGGGACGAAGGGAGGATAGGGAAGGGGTAGCATGAAGCACGAGGCAGGGAAGAGTCACAAGGGCGTGTGAGCAGCTCCTCTATCTGCTCTGCTGTGGCGTCCCTGTTGGCCTTGGTGAGTGTGAGCACGGCTGAACGGGGGAGGATAAGAGAGGGGGGACGAAGGGAGGATAGGGAAGGGGTAGCATGAGGCACGAGGCAGGGAAGAGTCACAAGGGCGTGTGGGCAGCTCCTCTATCTGCTCTGCTGTGGCGTCCCTGTTGGCCTTGGTGAGAGTGAGCACGGCTGAACGGGGGAGGATAAGAGAGGGGGGACGAAGGGAGGATAGGGAAGGGGTAGCATGAGGCACGAGGCAGGGAAGAGTCACAAGGGCGTGTGGGCAGCTCCTCTATCTGCTCTGCTGTGGCGTCCCTGTTGGCCTTGGTGAGTGTGAGCACGGCTGAACTGGGGAGGATAAGAGAGGGGGACGAAGGGAGGATAGGGAAGGGGTAGCATGAGGCACGAGGCAGGGAAGAGTCACAAGGGCGTGTGAGCAGCTCCTCTATCTGCTCTGCTGTGGCGTCCCTGTTGGCCTTGGTGAGTGTGAGCACGGCTGAACGGGGGAGGATAAGAGAGGGGGGACGAAGGGAGGATAGGGAAGGGGTAGCATGAGGCACGAGGCAGGGAAGAGTCACAAGGGCGTGTGAGCAGCTCCTCTATCTGCTCTGCTGTGGCGTCCCTGTTGGCCTTGGTGAGTGTGAGCACGGCTGAACGGGGGAGGATAAGAGAGGGGGGACGAAGGGAGGATAGGGAAGGGGTAGCATGAAGCACGAGGCAGGGAAGAGTCACAAGGGCGTGTGAGCAGCTCCTCTATCTGCTCTGCTGTGGCGTCCCTGTTGGCCTTGGTGAGTGTGAGCACGGCTGAACGGGGGAGGATAAGAGAGGGGGGACGAAGGGAGGATAGGGAAGGGGTAGCATGAAGCACGAGGCAGGGAAGAGTCACAAGGGCGTGTGAGCAGCTCCTCTATCTGCTCTGCTGTGGCGTCCCTGTTGGCCTTGGTGAGTGTGAGCACGGCTGAACGGGGGAGGATAAGAGAGGGGGGACGAAGGGAGGATAGGGAAGGGGTAGCATGAGGCACGAGGCAGGGAAGAGTCACAAGGGCGTGTGAGCAGCTCCTCTATCTGCTCTGCTGTGGCGTCCCTGTTGGCCTTGGTGAGTGTGAGCACGGCTGAACGGGGGAGGATAAGAGAGGGGGGACGAAGGGAGGATAGGGAAGGGGTAGCATGAGGCACGAGGCAGGGAAGAGTCACAAGGGCGTGTGAGCAGCTCCTCTATCTGCTCTGCTGTGGCGTCCCTGTTGGCCTTGGTGAGTGTGAGCACGGCTGAATGGGGGAGGATAAGAGAGGGGGGACGAAGGGAGGATAGGGAAGGGGTAGCATGAGGCACGAGGCAGGGAAGAGTCACAAGGGCGTGTGAGCAGCTCCTCTATCTGCTCTGCTGTGGCGTCCCTGTTGGCCTTGGTGAGTGTGAGCACGGCTGAAGGGATGGGGGAAGGAGAAAGGGGAAGAAGGATGCTCAGTGCCTGCTCAATTGTAAGGGCAGAATACCGTGCTATGGCTCCAGGGCATAACTGAGACGAGTTTAAAGTGCCTCATACGTTCTGCGCAATGACTCTACCGTCTACGGCATAAGCACCTGTGTCGGCGCGCTGCTTGATTTCCTCTACTAGCTCCAATGTGTGACCATAACGAGGGGCGGGTAGGGCACCAAACACCTGTGCACACACACAAACGAGAGCGAGAGGGGACGTGTGACGTGTAAGTAAAGGGGCGGATACACGGAAGGAAAAGTGCATTCAGGAGTGCATTGAGAAAGAGCGTTTACGGTGTCGGAGTTGAAACCGTAAGGCTGTGGGAGCAGAGACTTGGGTCAGAGCGAAAGGGCTTACAGCCACGGGAGAGGCGAGCAGGTTGAGTTTTGAGACGTCTCAAAACTAGAAAGGGCTTACAGCCACGGGAGAGGCGAGCAGGTTGAGAACAGCGTCTCTGAACTTGTCACTGCAGAGCTCCATGCGACCGATCTGGATGGGGAGAGAGAGAGGGGAACGGAGGGAGGGGGAGAAGGGAGAGGGAGGCAGAAGGGGGGGGAAAGGGAGGCAGAAGAGGGGGGAAAGGGAGGCAGAAGGGGGGGGAGAGAGGGCAAAGGCGAGCAGGTTGAGCACAGCGTCTCTGAACTTGTCACTGCAGAGCTCCATGCGCCCGATCTGGATGGGAGAGTGCCAAGGGAGAGTGGAAGGGGGAGGGAGAGAGGCAATGAACAGGCGAGCAGGTTGAGAACAGCGTCTCTGAACTTGTCACTGCATAGCTCCATGCGCCCGATCTGGTAAGAAAGGAGTGGTAAGGGAGACAGTGGGGGGAGGGGAGCAAATGAGAGAGGTCAGCAGGTTGAGCACAGCGTCTCTGAACTTGTCACTGCATAGCTCCATGCGCCCGATCTGGTGAGAGAGAGGGAGGGAGACAGAGTGGGGAGAAGGGAAGGGATGGGGGCAGGGGGAAGTGGGACAGGGAGAGAGGGAGGCAGATGGGGGGAAGGAAGGGGGGGCAGCAGAGGAAAGGGGGGGGGGGAGAGAGCAGGAGAGGCGAGCAGGTTGAGCACAGCGTCTCTGAACTTGTCACTGCAGAGCTCCATGCGGCCTATCTGGTAAGAGGGGAGCGGCACGAGAGGCAGAGAGGGGAAGGTAGCCAAGGAGAGAGGCGAGCAGGTCGAGCACAGCGTCTCTGAACTTGTCACTGCAGAGCTCCATGTGCCCGATCTGGATGGGAGAGAGGGAGGGAATGGAGGGAGGGGGAAGAGGGAGAGGGAGGCAGAAGGGGGGGGAAAGGGAGGCAGAAGGGGGGGGAAAGGGAGACAGAAGGGTGGGGAGAGAGGGTCAAGGGGAGCAGGTCGAGGACAGCGTCTCTGAACTTGTCCCTGCAGAGCTCCATGCGACCGATCTGGATGGGGAGAGAGAGGGGGGAGGCAGGAAGGGGAGAGAGCGGGAAGGGGAGTTACAGAGAGAAGGGGTAGGCAGTGGGGAGAGGGAAGCCCCTCGCTAGACGCGTGCAGGCTGGTGGCATGAGGTGCGGCACGAGGTGCGGCACGAGGTGCGGCATTGATAGCCTAACATCACGAAGTGCCGTATTAAAGGTCGCACCATGTGCATCGCATCGACCCACCAGCTCACCTCATCCACGATGTGCAGTCGCGTGGTGTCCGACGGCATGAGGTGCGGCAGCACTACCCGCTCGAACTCATCTATCGCCACGTAATACTTGCCGATCTGAGGAAGGAGAGGAGGGAGAAGAGGAGGGAGGAGAGGAGAGAGGAGAGGAGGGAGGGCGAGAGGCAACAAACTTGTTCCGAGACATATTGGTAATCGGCAGCACTACCCGCTCGAACTCATCGATTGACACATAGAATTTGCAGATCTGCGGCACGAGAGAAGCAACGAGAGAGAGAAGGTGGAGCAGTGAGACGTGTTGAGCTCATCTATTGCCCTTTGGGTAGTACTTGACAATCTTTACCCTTACGACCCAAAGGTCCATTTCCCCCATCTTTGGAACCACACTCTCTCTCCTTCATTTGCACAAAGACATGACCCCATGGCCCTTGGATTCCCATCCCCCCTCCCCCTCCGTTACCCCCTTTCCCGCTCCCGCACTCCCAGATTCCCCCACTTCCCCGCTTCCCCTTCCCCCCACGAATCCTCATTTATCCCACCTTCCCCTTTCCCTTCCTTCTCTTCCCCTCCCTCTATTGCCCTCCCCCCTCTCCGATCCCCCCACCTTGGGGCCGCAGCCTCTTCGTAATCTGCACAGAGGTGCACGCTCGCCCGCGAAAGTGACTGTAACGGGGGGAAGAGAGGGGGAGTGGGGGGGGGGGGAGGTGGGTGGGGGAAGGGGGGGAAAAGGGGGGAAAAGGCGGGGTGAGAGGGGAAGCAACGAAACATGAATAGACACAGATTAAGTTGGGGACAGGTGGGTGGGGACAGGGAGGGGCGAGGAGGGGGAGCGGAAGGGCGAAGGGGAGGGGAAGGTGGGAGAGAAAGCAGGTATCCGTGAGAGAAGCATTGAAGAAAGCACAACTCAATGCCTATTCAAAATCCTCCTTCTCAAAATCTCTACCAGTTAGTCTGCCCTCTCTTTCTTTTCCTCTTATTCCACCCTCGTTCCCCTCCTCACTCTCCTCCCACACACCTCCTCATTAGGCCTCTCACTCACCTCCTCTCTCCCCTCTCACTCACCTCCGCACTCCTCCCCACTCACTTCCTTCTCCCCTCCCACTTCCCCCCCCCCGCCTCCCACACTCATTCACCTTTCCACTCGCTTCCCCATTCCCCTGATCTCTACACTCACCTCCTCACTCCCCTCCCCTTCCCCTCCTCCCACACTCACTAACATCCAGCCCGAGTCGTTCCCCTGTGCCCTCCGCCTTCTCGTCAACCGTGCTGCGATAGGCGCAAGAGAACTCACCTTATCCCTTTCCTCCCACTCCCTTCCACCTCACATCCTCACTCTCCCTCTACTCCTCGCCTCATTCCCTCCCCACCCACACTCACTGACATCCAGACCGAGTCGTTCCCCCGTGCCCTCCGCCTTCGCCTCAACCGTGTAGAAACCCGCTACTAGATGCTGCGGTAAGCGCTTCGCCACCTTCAGCACCAGCCTGCAGTGTACACGCGATACGAACTCACAGACAAAATAAATGTACACAAAATAACGAACCTTCCAGTGTATTTGCAATAAGGTAGCCACTCAAACCGGCCCGTCATCGGGACCTTAAACGCGACGAGCACCAACGGGAAAGACAGCAGACTTGCCAAACGGAAATCACTACACAGCTTCACTTAGTATATGGGGCAATGAGTGCACGATGATAGGGAGGAGAAGGGGAGTCAGTACACTCACGAGGTTTTTCCGATGCCTGAAGCACACGCGCCCACGCGTGCCATGCACACGCACCCACACACAGCGGCAAAAAGGGGGAACCGGCGGAGGGAGGCGGGGGGAAGGAACATAGCAGCGGCAGTTAAGGAACATGCAAGGGGCAGGGTGAAGAGGCGAGAGAATCGAGAACATTAGCAAGGGACAACACATGGAGGTCAGTGCTAGCGGCGAGCGGAGGACACGAATGGAACCGCACGGATCCGCACGGGTCGAAAAACGAGATGAGCTTTCCACCCTGTGCTGCTGCCTGCTCGTCTCACGCGCTGGTACCGGAGCAGGATGTAGCATGACGGGCAGCAGCTCAGAAGCGCTATCTGGGTGCTACCCGGGTGCTACCCGCGCGCGTGTTACCCGAGTGCTGATACTCAGTTTTCTGTAACGTCTCTGGAAACGAGACGCGAAAACCATGCTATTTAGTTTGGCTGTTTCATTTCGTATACCAAGCCGGACTATAACACAATCTTCAGTGTTCTTATAAGGAGGTGCCTGACTGGCCCGATGGTACTGTAGTATTTGGTGTGCTTATAGCGAAGTACCTGGCTGGCCGGTGACGAATACGTTCACGGTGGAGCTGTTGGCTCCGCTAGTGCCGCTCGTGCCTTCGTGAGAGACCATCTGTACCGTCCACGGAGTCGCGGGGTGACTGAATCCACGACTCAGATTCGCTGCTAGCTACTAGCTACGCTACGTATGACAATGCCGCAGTTTCGCCCGGTGAACAGAGTGTAACGTCGTTGATGACGCTACCACTACTCCGTCTAGCCTAACCTCTGCTTGCAATGTTTCGACCCTTGAAAAACGGGTGGCCTCTGTTAGTATCTGCCTACTTCCGTGACGTCATGACGGAAAACGGTTATTTGAAAGGGTATCTAACCAATGGCTGGGACAAGCACACGCCGCGGGAGAGCTAAGCCTAAGCTTGACGAAATCTACGAAAACAAACGGAAAATGAAGTACATGTTTAAGATGCTGCGGTACGGAATCTACGAAGCGCTGTAGTAAGAAGTGGGAAGCGAAGGGGATTCTGAAGTTAGTTCGTGCTGCGCAACAAAGCAAGGGATGTACGACGCAGATCCTGCTTGCTGCGCAAGAGTGGAGTGAGCAACACAGGAGGTATTTCTGAGGGAGAAACAGGAACAACGTCTGAACAGCTCGGCGAGGCAAATTCTGGGGAATGTCTTAGCTCAGACAACGCGTCGCGAAAAAATATAGGGTCAGGTACGAAATTGCTGGAAGAGAAATCTGTGCGTGTGAAAAGCGATTCAGATCAGAACCCGGACGATGTACGGTCATTTAGTCGAACTACCCTAACTTGGGCAGTTATACCACATGACTGGCGGTTGCTGGTCTGGGCATTGGGCAGTCCAACGCATAGCCGAAAAAGCCGGGTGTCACCTGAGCTGGACACAGCCGAGTCACAAGAACCGCCAGGAGAAAGTCCCTCAAGCTCGAGGCGGGCTGAGCTGGCTACAAGACATGACTTGCTTTCGTGGCACATCCAATGAAATTGCAAGAGCCCCCAAGATGCTGTGCTGTAGATGTCCTGTCACTCCATCGTGGATGAACAGCGTGTACCATAACATGAGCAGGCAATGTACAAATACATAACGCATGACCAAGTTGACCACGAACACTGCTGTTCTTCAACAAGGTTCATCATCTTACATCAAACATATATATATTTAGCAATTTATTAACAAAAATCTTCGGCCTCTGCACTTATCTGCAGCACCAAACCACATAGTTATCAATACTTGAATCTTGCACACAAACAGCTTTAATCTCTATGCTCGGGTGGGCAAAGCAGTTCAAAACCCAGCTGAGCTTCCAAGCAGGCGCTGCTGCTACTATTTTGGCCTCTTCGTGATCGCTAAATACTATCCACCAGGAATGACCACTCCTTGGATTACAGGTAAAACACAGTTGAAGGGCAAAAATGAACCTCTACCAATCATTAGGATACACTTGTCGGAGCTTCTTTCCAGGGACATACGTGCCATCTTGGAAACCCACGAAGAACTGCAGTACGAACACACAAATAGATCCACAATCAGGCTCCCTATTCTTGGATGCGTAACGGAGAAAATAGAACTATAACAGAACTCACCTTGGGAATCCAGGGGTGGACAACTGGTGAAGCATCACTCTGGGCTACGAGATTTTCCTGTGCGACATAAGTGGAGACACCTCCTGCTCTATCGCGAGTGTCTACCAAGACGTGGTAGAAAGGCTGGCTTCTCCCATGTGTCAATAGGTCCACTTTCATCGCATCTTGCCAGCTGGAAGGGGCTGAGCACTCAGGATCGTGACCGTAAACAACGCCGCGATAGCCTGTACACGGAAGGGGATGGACAGGGATGAGCTATTAGACTAACAATGATAAAGAGTAATAACGAATTGAAAATTGTTACAAACGCTCACCGTATCTGCGGTGCACGATGACATCTCCCACACGGTACATAATGCGCGGTTTGGCCTGAATCTCTAACAAACGCTTCCGAAACTCCATCATAGCTAGGCTGTCGCGGACCTGCAAGAGAAAGACAGCGTCAATGGCTAGTTTTGGGACTCCGGTGCTACAAAAGCATAATTTCGAATGCAGCCTACCACGCATGCTTCCTCGTAATGTTCTCCCGCCACCAGAGCTGCCATCCGGTCTTGCAGCTCTTTCACCTCGGACGACACAACCACGTATGACTCGCTCATTTCTAATTCCTGCAAAATCAATGGAAAGTGGATGAGGCCCGCTACGAATACGAAGGGTATAGAAACACGACATAGAACAAGCCAAGAACGGGAAAGACGCACCTTCCTAGCCCTCCTCTCCACAACACAGTCATTTCCAAAGGAGTCGCGAAAATTCTCAAGCGGATCGGCCACTTCCATGCGCCAGGCCTTCGGTCGACGGACTTCGCGATTGCAACAGACTTTAGTAGAGAGCTTTAAGCATTGACTATTTCCAAACATCGAAGACATTGACGAGCGCACGGTTCGTCCTTTCTGAACTACCTGCTCTTCACTCTTAAGTGGTCCATAACACGCGCAATCCTTTAAGACTACGGAGCTCGCTGAGAAGGCGGCCATAGCTAATAAATTCTATTGACTTCAAGCCCGTTCGGAAACTGAGGAGCATTAAATAAAAAAATATCGGAGAGATCAAAGATGGTGGTTCACGAGGCGACGTTTGCAATGCTTGGCATGAAACACAGAAGTCTGTGACAACCGAGCAAGGGCAGTCCAGCACTGAATACGCCGATAGATCCAATAGGGGTGGGGAGCTATTGGAGAGGAGCAGAGCAGGAGTTCTTGATGGGGGTCACTCGCATCGCATGCGTCGAGGGGAGGAGGAAGGAGGTAGAGAAGGATCGGGCAGATGTCTGGTCAGCTGACATGGCATGAAAAAGGGATTGTGATCCGCTTAGGAGGAAGGTTTGCACGGGGAAGAGGTAGCATCCCTCCCAATGTGGAGCCACGTGAGTGGCTGCGGTGGATCGTGGCACAATCAATGACGCCGATTGGAAACCCCGTTAAAGTGGAGGCGAGCTTGGCGCGCAGAATACGACTGGAGGTGAATGGATGAGTTTGCAGTTTCGTTTCCGTGCAGACCGCAACAGTATCAAAGCAGGACGTTTCTGTCCACACGTGGTGACTGTGGATGGTGGTGATTTTGATGTGACCCATCAAAATTGACCGCAAATGTGTGGACTTCCGTGTGAGGATATTCAATGTTCAATTGATATTCCCCGTTTACTTGGGAATGAAATCACTAGTAAAATTTCGTACTGTACCGTTCCAGACCGTCTCTAAAACTGAGCGAAACGTGCTGTACCGCTAAAGATTAGTGCCTATCGAAAGCAGCCTCCCCACAACTCATCAAATCACATGTTGTGATGTAATATCCAGGATACAAGGTCTGGTATTAATGCGAGATGCTCTTTACGCGTACGCGGCAATATTATGTGTGCTGATCAGCCTATGATTGTTGATGTCTATATTAGGTGCTGATCAGCCTATGATTCCAGATACCGTAGTCATAATTAGTGCTTTGCTTTGAGGTGTGTACACGAGTAGGTAATGAGCGACGAAACAAATGTTCCGGATCTATACAGTGGCAGCAGACCAACTCTCAGCCGCTTAGATCAGGGAAGACAATGGCATTGGCACTCAGCGTCACACCTCATGTCCCCAAGCCTATTTTCAGAACCATTTCCGGAATCCCCCCGCCGCGAGAAGTTCATTTATCCGCGAAGCATGTTATGGTAACCAGGAATGAATGGCGAACGAGCGACTACAATCGCGATCCTGAGCTGACGAAACCTGTGGGATTGACCACTAGGAGAAGGCCATCTGGCATTGAGCGTGACGAGCCTGCTGCGGACCCTATTGCCGTCGGTGATTCATCAAACGCGCATCTATGGCCTTCCACAGATGGACAGATTGAAGGAATCATCAGGACGGGTAGAGAAAGCAGAGAAGTCAGAGACAGAAGATTCAGCAGAGAAAGCAGAGACAATGGAGACAGAAGGGGTAATGTAGCAAGAAGCAGTATGATTAAAGGGTTGGTTGGGGTTCAAGGCGAGAAACCGCAAGGCTTGGTGAGGAAGCCTGCTGGACAGGGCCGGGATGCGGTGTGGAAAACGCGCGACCGATTTGACACGGATTCAGCAGTGCCAGATAGGCTTAGAACGGAACTTATTGCAGCAAAAGCTGGTGAGAATGAGTCAGCGTCGCCAGACCGACGCAGGGCGGCACATCGGGAGAATCAGTACAGGTCTTCTGCTGCGCGGTCACCAGCGTGGACGGCGCGAGGATCCGAGAAACCGTTCTTACCAGAATTGATTGATTTCGTACGTGTTGCTGACGGTACTAGTAACGCAGCTGCTCCTGTCGGGACAGCTGGGTCGGCTGGTGAAGCAATATATTCCGATACAGAGAGACGTTCTACTCTAGGTAGGTCTGTGAAACGAGTTATGGCGAGTACCCCTGGTAAGATCTGCAGCAGCAGCAGCAGCGGACGTTGGGGAAGTGACAGTACTGCTGATGCTAGAAGCAACATGAGAAGCAACATGGTTGGGGGGATGTGGCGAGGGAGAGAGGGTGCGAGAGAACGGGCGGCGAAAGCAGCAGCGGAGATCAGAGCCCGAGAGTTGAGGGGAACAGCAGAGGTGGGTGAGTGTGTCAGGCGCCATAGCCTAGCCGTTGATAACCGGACTCTCAACCTGCTGCTCGGGGTGATGGTGGGAGGCAGAGCAGTATCGGATACCGGAGATTCTGTAACGGAGAAGCGAAATGACGGGAGAGCCGCAGATAGGAGGCTTCCTGCTGTGTCTGGAGCAGGGGGGACAGGGTTTAAGAGACGTTTAGAGGAGAAAGATTGGGAGGGCGCAAAGGTGGTGGCGGTGGCGTTTGAAGCGGAAGGAGTGGAGTTGAACGAGAGGATCTACACCACGCTGATCTCGTGCTTTGGGTGAGTGCTGCACTCTCAAGGTGACGAGTGTGTTGCCTCAGATGTGAATTGAGGTGATTATTGAGTTGGCTGAGTTGAGGATGTGTTGAGGCGGAAGGAGTGGAGTTGAACGAGCGGATTTACACCACCCTGATCTCATGCTTCGGGTGAGTGCTGCTCTCTCAAGGTGGCGTTTGTTTTGGCTCATATGCCATTTGAGGTCATTACTGACTTGGCTGCGGAGGTGTTTTAAGCGGGAGGGGTGGAGTTGATTGAGCGGATTTACACCACGCTGATCTCATGCTTCGGGTGAGTGTGCTTTCTACCTCCCTCCCCTTCCTCTCTCTCTCTCCTTCCCTCGCCCCCTCTCGCCCCCGTCTTGCCCTCGCTTCTGGTTGCCGTTCGCCCTAGCGCTATCAGAATCACCACCAAAGTACCGACCATGCTCCCCTTTCCCCTGTGCACTGCAGCAAGGGCGGGCGCATTGAGGACTGTTGGCGGTGGCTCCGCGCAATGGAGAGGCAGTGGGGGGTGGCGCCAGTGCAAATGGGGGCGCACATGCAACAAGTGGCGGAAGTGCAAGGGGTGGCGCAAGTTAATGGCGCGGTTGGGGGAGAACGGGAAGAGGGAGAGGTTCAGGGGAAATCAGAGGAGGGGAGCCGGGAGCAGAGAGGTTGGGGGGAGAAAGGGGAAGGGGAGGGCGAGAATGGGGGAGGAGAGGGGGGTGCGTACGGGAAGAACGTGCTGCTTCCAGAGGATATCTATGATGTGATTCTTGGGGCGTGCGTGCAGGTGAGAGCGCGCGAGGTGAAGTGGGGGGGCGGGGAAGCAGGACAAAGGGCAGGAGAGCGGGGTGCGTACGGGAAGCGAGTGCTGCTTCCAGAGGACATCTATAACGTGATGCTGGGGGCGTGTGTGCAGGTAAGAGCGTGGGAGGGGTAGGGGGAAGGAGGGGGGGAAGGGAAGGGGGAAAGGGCGGAGGAGACGGGGGAGCAACGGGAACATACAGGGAGTGTGTGTTGCTTCCAGAGGATATTTATGACGTGCTGCTGGGGGCGTGTGTGCAGGTGAGAGCGCGATGAGGGATGTTACGGGGAAATGGGGGGATGAGAGGAGGAGAAGAGGATTTGTGTGAAGCTGTGATTGTCTCACTGGGACAATTTTATGCTCAAGGATTTATTTTCCTTGTTTTTCCACTTGTCCTCCACATACCCCTCATCTCCTCCCGCTCTTCTCCTGCAGTGTGAGGACTGGAAAGGGGCGCTAGCCATCTACCACCACCTCTCAGCACACGGAGCTGCTGCAGCATCAGCATCAGCATCAGCAGCTGCTGCAGCAATAACAGCCGCTGTGTCAGCGGGAGTAGCATCTGCAGCAGCTGTGTCAGAAGCAGCAGCACTGTCCCACGCGCATCATCATCATCGTCACCATCACCAGCCTGTGCATGGGGAGCAGCGCATGCCAAGGAGCAGTCAATTCGCGCTGGTGCTGAGAGCATGCGCGCGAGCAGGCAGGTGGCAGCTCGCCCGTGACCTGCTGCTCGCTGCTGATGATGTGTTCGTTGCTGCCCTTGCCACTGCTGCTGGTGCTTCTGCTGCTTCTGCTCGTTCTGGTTCTGGTTGTCCTGCTGCTGCTGCTGCTGCTGCTGATGGCAGTGATGGCAGTGGTGGTGGTGGTAGTTGTAGTGGTGGTAATGGTGGTGGTGTTTGTGCTCCCCCTCTTTCCCCACACCACCCTCCCATTGCCACCTCATCTGCCATGTTCACTGACGTCATCACAGCCTGTGCCAGGTCAGCACAGCCAGTTCCAGCTCTCCTTCTGCTCGACCGCCTTGATTCCCACCCTTCCCCGGACCTCTATACTGACGTGGCAGCCTATACAGCTGCCATCTCAGCATGTGCGAGTGTTGGCCAATGGGAGAACGCCATCCGACTGCTGACTAGGATGCAGCAGCAGCCAATTGGAAAAGAGATGGGGAGGAATGGGAAAGCCTCTTCCATGCCGAAGCTGGAGGTTCGGGGAAAGCAGGATGTACTTCGAAAGCCTGCAGTTCAGCCGAACGTGGTGACGTGGACGGCAGTGATGTCAGCATGTGCAATGGCAGGGCGTGCTGACGTGGCAAGGGAAGTGCTGAGAAGGATGATGCGAGAAGGGAATGGAGAGGAGGGTGAGGAGAAAAGGGAGGGTGAATGGAAATGGGAGAATGAAGGGACGATGGAGAGAAAGGGGAAAACGGATGGTGAGAGAAAAGGGGAGGGTGATGGGAACGAGGAGGAGAGAGTAGTTAATGGACGGAGGAAAGTAACCAGGAGGGAGGAGAGACTGGTTGTGACAGGTGCCACGTCAGCATCTTGCTTGGATGCCATATCAGACGCCATGTCAGATTGTCGTCCCAATGTGGTGACGTGGACAGTGGTCCTGACTGCATGCGCGAGGGCGGGGGAGTGGCAGCAGGCCGAGGCACTGTTCACCCAGATGCAGACAAACAGAGTGATGCCGAACGAGGTCTCGTGGGCGGCACTGATCAGCGCTTATGCCAAGGGCGGGCAGTGGGAGAAAGCTATAGGCGCCCTGAGGGCTATTAGAGGGGGACGAGGTGGGCAAAAAGAGAAATGGGGAAAGGAAGAGGAAAAAGAAGCAGCAGCAGCAGTACCAGCAGCAGCAACAGCATTGGAACCATCCAATCCACCTCAATCTTCGCCCCTTCCATCTGCCTGGAACGCTGCCCTGCACGCGTGTGCCAAGGCCGGCAAGTGGAAGCTTCTGGGAAGCCTCGTGCAGGAGATGCAGGTGGCAGGGCGTTCTCCCTCTGTGGTGACCTATGGGGTGCTGGTGGGCGGGTATGGGCGCGCGGGGCAAGCAAGACTGGCCAGTGAAGCATTCGATGAAATGCTGTCGGCAGGGATAAGGTGAGATTCATAAGAATAGAAACAGGTGCTCCTTGTTTCTCCAGGGTGCCCCCCCTCCGTGGTGACCTATGGGGTGCTGGTGGGCAGGTATGGGCGCGCGGGGCAAGCAAGACTGGCCAGAGAAGCGTTCGATGAGATGTTGTTAGCAGGGATAAGGTGAGACCTATGGGGGTAGAAGTGGGCGACCCCCCTCTGTGGTGACCTATGGGGTGCTGGTGGGGGGGTATGGGCGCGCGGGGCAAGCCCGATTGGCGAGAGAAGCGTTCGAATCGATGCTGGGTGCAGGGATAAGGTGAGGATAAAAGGAACACCATTTCTCTAGGGTGCTCCCTCTTCTGTGGGGGGTATGGGCGGGCGGGGCAAGCAAGATTGGCAAGAGAAGTGTTTGACACGATGCTGGCTGCAGGGATAAGGTGAGACTCGCAGGGATACAAGTGGGTGCTCCCCCCCCCCTCCTCTGTGGTGACCTATGGGGTCTTGGTGGGGGGGTATGGTCGAGTGGGGTAGGCGAGCTTTTGCAAGCTTTGGGGTAGAGAGCGTTTGATGCGATGCTGATTGGAGGGGTAGGGAGAGAGGCCTGGTTGACTTACTCTGACTTTGGCATCCAATCAAATCGACATCAGTGAAAAGGAATCCTGCCCTTCATTTGCCTTGTTCCTGGCTTTTCCTTCCACCCAAAAATTTAACTGATTCATTGTTTCCTTCCTCCCGTTTCCCTCCTTTTCGCTCCATTTCTTGCTCGTCGTTTCCTTCAAAAGGCCAAACGCAGTGGTGTGTGCTTCGATGGTGCGAGCGTACGCACGTGCCCGCCAGTTTGGGCAGGCCATGAAATTCTTCGAGGCGATGCCCAAACTCGGGGTGGTTCCTGACAAATACACCTACACAGCGCTGCTCTGGGCTTGCGGTGCCTGCGGCCAGTGGCAGCGGGCAGAAGAAATATTTTCGAGGATGAAGCGGCAGGGGTGCGTGCCGGATGGGGTGACATACAGAACACTGATAGAGAGCTATGAGATGAATGGAGAGTGGGATAAATCCATGGAGGTCTTAGAAGACATGAACTCTCTGTCTTCAAGAATGTTACAGCGGACATGCCATGGGCAGCGATAATGATTATAATGACCCTCTGGCCTGTCTAAGGGTCCATTCCTGTGGAGACACAAATGTCTCAATCGCTTTGTGACACACAAAAACAGCATAAACTGTAGTGTGTCCCAATTGCGAGTCGCATTTCCGCGACCATTACTGTATTTTTTATTGGTCAGCGTGAAACGCGCTGACGTCGCTGACGAATTGTAATCTGACTCGTCAATGTGAAAAATTCGCACGCTGCTCGAAATGTCAATGCACCTGGACAGCCTGCAATGCCAATTTCGTGCGGGAAAAAATCCCGCTCGTCGAAACCACACCCCAGCCAAGCGGTTGAAAAAAGGGATGTACAGTCATTTGTGTCACCCAAACAAATGCGCACAACTGTACATCTCGCCTGGTCGCCTAGAGTCGCGATACATTGGTTGTTTGTGACACAACATTTGGCAAATTTACAGGCGCGACTCGGGAAATCGGGGATTGAGACACAAGTGTCCCCGCAGGAATGCACCCTAAAACTGATTGACCACCCGACATATTCACCCCCAAATGTTTGACTTCAACCCCAAATGTTTGACTTCAACCCCCAATGTTTGACTTCGAATCCAATCAACGGAGCACAATGAACTTCTCTCCGTTCACTGCTTGAATCTTGGCCACCCTCTTTATGATCTCCTGGAATCGCTCCTTATCCTGCCAACAAGAAAGAGAAGAGGAACGAAACAACAACGCAACCTACAAGGACGAAACAAGCCGGGGATGATGACCGTCATTGGCACAGGAACCAATCTGGCTTGAGTTAGCTTTGAGGTGGCTTTAAGGCGAATGAAAGCCACCTTGTTAAGTCAAGGCAAGAAGGAGGGTTGCGGACCCAGCAGGATTCCCCATGAAGCGAGGTATGGATTACCAATGCAGTTGCAAAGTGCCAAGTGCGAACCTAATTTGCATCTCTACCACGGCTCGACTCACCTTGGCAGTCTTGAGGCCTGATCGGAGTTGGTGTACCAGGTCGCTACTCTTGATGGGACCCTGCCTTAAAATAGCCCTCACTGTCTCCGCTGTCTCTTGACTGAATCCAAAAGTCATAGCGGATACTTCACAAGTCACACAACTCACCTCGCTGTCACTCATGCTGGTGGAAGGGCAGCAGTACGTGTAAACGCTTTATCAAGTAAGAAAGAGCGTAAAAAATCCGTCGCTAAGAGAACTCTGATCTTCGGGAAGTGACACAGCCAACTGACTGGGTCATTGAAACCAACTGACTGAGCCACTTCAGATGCTGACTCTTGGAAGCTTTTTGAGGTCCATTTGCGAGTCTAGAAAGGGTCCGAAATGAGTCCGAAAGGAATGGCGAGGAAAAATCCAAATGCGTCCGCAACAGCTGGTCAGGCTCGATATCACAGATATAGAAATTACTCTTACAGATTGATGTATACCATATAGATCACTGAAACACAGTGATCTTTAAAAAAACAAACCAACCAATATTCTGAATCCAAATAAATCAGGCCCTGAAGTATCATGCTGCAGAGAATAGCGCATTCATGTGATTGTACTAAACTGCGTGTGCAATCCGCTGGCTTTTAGAGGTATGCTTATAATGAAGCAATCTGTATGGGAGGAACTATAGATGCTGGTTACATATCCTTCCTTTCACAGTATTGCAAATAGTGTGTTCCCCTCTGAATGTGCCCCCCATCAACTCAATCTGCAGCCCAAAGTCATCACTGACTTGGGCACTTGGAGATTGCTTGTTGTGACCGCTAAAATTTCTCCAGCCATCCGGCTGCCAGTTGTCCAATCGTCCAGGTGTCCCCCCCCACCCTATCAGCCCAATTAGCCCAATCAGCGGAGCACAATGAACTTCTCTCCGTTCACTGCTTGAATCTTGCCCACCCTCTTGATAATTGCTCTTGAGTCAACTCAAAACCAGTTGTCCAACCGTCCAGGTGCCCCCCCCCGCCCCGACCCAATCAGCCCAATCAACGGAGCACGATGAACTTCTCTCCGTTCACTGCCTGAATCTTGCCCACCCTCTTGATAATCTCCTGGAATCGCTTCTTATCCTGCCACACAGATGGAAGAGGAAAGAAACGATGCAAGGATTTAAAAAAAAAAGGTGGAGATGAGATGAGAGCAGTCATGGGCACAGCATCAGGAAGCGATCTGGTTTTTAAAGTGCCACCATGATAAGAGAAGCTTAAATTGACCCACCCACCGCAATGCCCACCCCCCAACCCAATGCCCATCTTCCACTGCTCACAGAATTCTGTGTCTCACCCATCGATCTCCTGATTCACATCGGCAGTCTTGAGGCATGCTCGGAAGCGGTTCACCAGATCTGTGCTCTTGATAGGAGCCTGCATCAAAATCCCCTTCGCCATATCCTACCATATCCTACCATATCCTACCATATCCTACCATATCCTACCATATCCTACCATATCCTCCCATATCCTCCCATATCCTCCCATATCCTCCCATATCCTCCCATATCCTCCCATATCCTCCCATATCCTCCCATATCCTCCCATATCCTCCCATATCCTCCCATATCCTACCATATCCTACCATATCCTACCATATCCTACCATATCCTCCCATATCCTCCCATATCCTCCCATATCCTCCCATATCCTCCCATATCCTCCCATATCCTCCCATATCCTCCCATATCCTCCCATATCCTCCCATATCCTCCCATATCCTCCCATATCCTCCCATATCCTCCCATATCCTCCCATATCCTCCCATATCCTCCCATATCCTCCCATATCCTCCCATATCCTCCCATATCCTCCCATATCCTCCCATATCCTCCCATATCCTCCCATATCCTCCCATATCCTCCCATATCCTCCCATATCCTCCCATATCCTCCCATATCCTCCCATATCCTCCCATATCCTCCCATATCCTCCCATATCCTCCCATATCCTCCCATATCCTCCCATATCCTCCCATATCCTCCCATATCCTCCCATATCCTCCCATATCCTCCCATATCCTCCCATATCCTCCCATATCCTCCCATATCCTCCCATATCCTCCCATATCCTCCCATATCCTCCCATATCCTCCCATATCCTCCCATATCCTCCCATATCCTCCCATATCCTCCCATATCCTCCCATATCCTCCCATATCCTCCCATATCCTCCCATATCCTCCCATATCCTCCCATATCCTCCCATATCCTCCCATATCCTCCCATATCCTCCCATATCCTCCCATATCCTCCCATATCCTCCCATATCCTCCCATATCCTCCCATATCCTCCCATATCCTCCCATATCCTCCCATATCCTCCCATATCCTCCCATATCCTCCCATATCCTCCCATATCCTCCCATATCCTCCCATATCCTCCCATATCCTCCCATATCCTCCCATATCCTCCCATATCCTCCCATATCCTCCCCTCCCATATCCTCCATATCCTCCCATATCCTCCCATATCCTCCCATATCCTCCCATATCCTACCATATCCTACCATATCCTACCATATCCTACCATATCCTACCATATCCTACCATATCCTCCCATATCCTCCCATATCCTCCCATATCCTCCCATATCCTCCCATATCCTCTCATATCCTCCCATATCCTCCCATATCCTCCCATATCCTCCCATATCCTCCCATATCCTCCCATATCCTACCATATCCTACCATATCCTACCATATCCTACCATATCCTACCATATCCTACCATATCCTACCATATCCTACCATATCCTACCATATCCTACCATATCCTACCATATCCTCCCATATCCTCCCATATCCTCCCATATCCTCCCATATCCTCCCATATCCTCCCATATCCTCCCATATCCTCCCATATCCTCCCATATCCTACCATATCCTACCATATCCTACCATATCCTCCCATATCCTCCCATATCCTCCCATATCCTCCCATATCCTCCCATATCCTCCCATATCCTCCCATATCCTCCCATATCCTCCCATATCCTCCCATATCCTCCCATATCCTCCCATATCCTCCCATATCCTCCCCTATCCTCCCCTATCCTCCCCTATCCTCCCCTATCCTCCCCTATCCTCCCCTATCCTCCCCTATCCTCCCCTATCCTCCCCTATCCTCCCCTATCCTCCCCTATCCTCCCCTATCCTCCCCTATCCTCCCCTATCCTACCGTATCCTACCGTATCCTACCGTATCCTACCGTATCCTACCGTATCCTACCGTATCCTACCGTATCCTACCGTATCCTACCGTATCCTACCGTATCCTACCGTATCCTACCGTATCCTACCGTATCCTACCGTATCCTACCGTATCCTACCGTATCCTACCGTATCCTACCGTATCCTACCGTATCCTACCGTATCCTACCGTATCCTACCGTATCCTACCGTATCCTACCGTATCCTACCGTATCCTACCGTATCCTACCGTATCCTACCGTATCCTACCGTATCCTACCGTATCCTACCGTATCCTACCGTATCCTACCGTATCCTACCGTATCCTACCGTATCCTACCGTATCCTACCGTATCCTACCGTATCCTACCGTATCCTACCGTATCCTACCGTATCCTACCGTATCCTACCGTATCCTACCGTATCCTACCGTATCCTACCGTATCCTACCGTATCCTACCGTTTCCTACCGTTTCCTACCGTATCCTCCCGTATCCTCCCGTATCCTCCCGTATCCTACCGTATCCTCCCGTATCCTCCCGTATCCTCCCGTATCCTCCCGTATCCTCCCGTATCCTCCCGTATCCTCCCGTATCCTCCCGTATCCTACCGTATCCTTCCGTATCCTTTCGTATCCTCCCGTATCCTCCCGTATCCTCCCGTATCCTCCCGTATCCTCCCGTATCCTACCGTATCCTACCGTATCCTCCCGTATCCTCCCGTATCCTCCCGTATCCTCCCCTATCCTCCCCTATCCTCCCCTATCCTCCCCTATCCTCCCCTATCCTCCCATATCCTCCCATATCCTACCATATCCTACCATATCCTACCATATCCTACCATATCCTCCCATATCCTCCCATATCCTCCCATAGCCTACCGTATCCTACCGTATCCTACCGTATCCTACCGTATCCTACCGTATCCTACCGTATCCTACCGTATCCTACCGTATCCTACCGTATCCTACCGTATCCTACCGTATCCTACCGTATCCTACCGTATCCTACCGTATCCTACCGTATCCTACCGTATCCTACCGTATCCTACCGTATCCTACCGTATCCTACCGTATCCTACCGTATCCTACCGTATCCTACCGTATCCTACCGTATCCTACCGTATCCTACCGTATCCTACCATATCCTACCATATCCTACCATATCCTACCATATCCTACCATATCCTACCATATCCTACCATATCCTACCATATCCTACCATATCCTCGCATATCCTCCCATATCCTACCATATCCTACCATATCCTACCATATCCTACCATATCCTCTGTCACGCGACTCGCCTCGGCAGTCTTGATGGGAGGCGGCTCCTTGCTGCAGACCAGGTGACATGATGGTATGGTATGACCTCACGCCATGTTGGTGTGACTTTTGAGAATTCTCGAAAGTAACACCAACACGGCTGCTTGCACCACACCAGGTGACATGATGGTATGGTATGACCTCACGACTCACCTCTGCTGTGTTGAGGCATGATCGGAAGCGGTTCACCAGATCTGCACTCTTGATAGGCGCCTGCCCCAAATCCCCTTCACTGCCTCCTCTGTCACACGATTCACCTCGGCAGTCTTGATGGGAGGCTGCTGCTTGCAGCAGGCTACTATGAGACATAATGGTATGGCATGACACCACGACTCACCTCGGCTGTCTTGAGGCATGATCGGAAGCGGTTCACCAGATCTGCGCTCTTGATAGGAGCCGGCCTTGAATTTCCGTTTACTGCCTCCTATGTCACTTGACTGAATTCAAAAGTCAAAGTGAATACTCCATAAGTCACACGCCTCACCTCTGCAGTCTTGAGGCATGATCGGAAGCGGTTCACCAGATCGGCACTCTTGATAGGAGCCTGCCTCAGAATCCCCTTCACCGCCTCCTCTGTCACCGCTGTCGGCTTCGGCCCTGCCGCTGCCCCAGATGCACCTCCCCCAGATGTACCTCCCCCTGGCCTGCCTACTGCCGCTCCACCCGCCCCTGGTTCCCGCTTCGCAGGCAGAGGAGGGGTTCGTTTCCCTGGTTCCACCTTCCCCTTCTTTGCCCCTGCTGCCCCTGCTCCAGATGCACCTCCCCCAGTTGAACCCTTCTCCAGGTCCTTTCGCTTCAGCCCCCTCCCTGCTGCCGCCGCCGCTGCTGCAGCAGCAGCACTGAGCGCAGCAGCAGCACCAGCAGCCACAGAAGCTGCTGCTGCCCCCCCGTCCCCCTTCCCGCCTCCCGCCCCCTGCCCGCCCGCCGCTGCTCCAGCCCCCTTCCCCTTCTGGAAAATAGGCGAGAAGGCGATATCTAAATCCTCTTCGTCGTCTTCCCCATCCTCCTCCTCTCCTGCTCCCCCGATTCCCCTCGCTCCCACCCCCTCCTCCCCTTCCACCCCAGCCTTATGCAACAGTTTCTTTAGTGCCTTGCCTGAATGGCTCAGTGATATCCCCTCCCCTTCCTCCTGCCCCTCGCCCTCCTCCTCCTCCTCTTCCTCCACCTCCTCCTGAACCCGCGGAGGAGAGGGGGGTGGGGAGGGCGGGTAATGGGACGGGTGGGTTGGGAGAGGGAGAAAGGAAGCAGAGTCTCACCGCTGTAGCTGGGCTCCTCTCCTGCTCCTTCTCGTCCTCCTTATCCTCTGGCTGCATACTATCGCCTCCAGCAGCACACACACTCACAGACACCCTAACACTCCTGCCCATCCATCAAGCCACCCTCACCTCTTTAGACGGACCCCTCTCCTGCTCCTTCTCGTCCTCCTTGTCCCCAGGCTGCACTGCCGTCGCCTCAGCAGCACACGCACGCAGACACCCAGAGACTCCTGCCCATCCATCAGAGCACTCTCTATCAAGCCACTCTCAGCTATGACAGTCCCATTCTCACCTCTTTAGCCTGACTGACTCTTTTCGGCTCCTTCTCAACCTCCCCATCCCATAAGCCACCCTCACCTCTATAGCAGAGCTCCTCTTTAGCCTGACTGACTCTTTCCGGCTCCTTCTCCTCAACCTTATCATCACATTTCCCAGTCACCTCAAACGCAGCTCTCAGGCTCACCTCTTTAGCCAGGCTCCTCTCCTGCTCCTTCTCATCCTCCTTGTCCTCTGGCTGCATCGCCGTTGCCTCGTCATCATCTGAAAACAGCTCATCATGCTCCCAGTCCTCTCCTGGAGGCATGGGGAGAGTGGGGAAGAAAAGAGGGGAGGGAAGGGCATCGGAGAGTCATGGCATGGGAGAAACGGGCATGAGAGAAATGAAGAGTGCTCGCAATCCTACACAAGTGCTCCCAGTCCGCTCCTGGAGGCACGTTTGTGAGTTCTCAGAAGGGGGAGAGAGAGCAAAGTGACGAGAAGGGCACGAGTGGGATGAAGAGTGTTTGTGATCTTTGAAACGTGATCCCAGTGAGAGAGGAAAGTAAAGAGAAGGGCATAAGAGAGGCAAAGTGCTCGCTAGCACTGGGAGACGAAGTGATAGAAAGCCTCTCACTTTTAGCCCCGTCCATCTCCGATTCAGTCTCTTCCTTGGACACATCATCAACAACCCCTCATCCCATGCACCCTCCCCCTCTCGTGTATTCACCGTGATACTAATAATACCACTAACGACAAAACCCTCTCACCTTTATCCCCATCCATCTCCAATTCAAGCTCTTCCTTGGGCAATTCATCATCCTCATCACCCCCTCCCTTCTTCCTCAATAGCCTCCGTGCCATCACATACGTTTTCATCCTCAGTGCCACACATGTCAAGACCCGCTCACCTTTATCCCCATCCATCTCCAATTCAAACTCTTCCTTTGGCACTGCATCATCCTCCTCATCCCCGCCCTTCTTCCCCTGCCCTCTCTTCCTCCCCTCCCCGTCCTCCATATCCCCCCCCATCCCTTCATCATCCGACCCTAACCCATCATCCAGCCCTCCCTTCTTCCTCCCTCCTCCCCTCCCCCCACCGCCCCCTTCCTTCCCTCCCCCGGCCAGAAGCTTCTCGGATTCTTCCTTGGTGAGCCACTTTCGAAACCCGTCGGCCTTACGCCGTTTCGATTGCATGCACAGCTCTGCTTCTTCTAGGGTTAGCGTCTTGTACTGGGCTTGCTTTCCAAAGGCGTACCTGGGACGGGGGGGCATTGTGATGGGATGGGGGAATGGGGTTGAACAGAGGGGGTTGTTGAGTGGTTTAGAGACTGCATGCACAACTCGGCCTCCTCCAGCGTTAGCGTCTTGTACTGGGCTTGCTTTCCAAAGGCGTACCTGGGAGGAGGGGTCCACCTTTGTCTTTGTCATTGTACCCCCTGTATGGGAAAGGGTCGAGTCATGCCGCTTAGCCCCCGTTGCTTCTACTCCCCATCCCATCCCATCCCATCCCAATCCCATCCCATCCCATCCCATCCCATCCCATCCCATCCCATCCCATCCCATCCCATCCCATCCCATCCCATCCCAATTCATCCCATCCCATCCCCATCCCCATCCCATCCCATCCCATCCCATCCCATCCCATCCCATCCCATCCCATCCCATCCCATCCCATCCCATCCCATCCCATCCCATCCCATCCCATCGCATCGCATCCTATCACATGCCATCCCCGTCCCAGGTACGCCTTTGGAAAGCAAGCCCAGTACAAGGCGCTACCCCTAGAAGAAGCAGAGGTGCGCATGCAGTCTCTTCAGCACTCACAAGGACCCCCATTCTTCAAACTCCCTATTCCGCCTCCCCCTCCACTGGCTAGTGGGAATGGCGACAAACTCCTTGCCGTGCATGACCAGCAGGTTAAATGCCGAATGATGGAGACGTTTCAAAAGCCATTCTAACACCCTCACCCACATTACCACACCATATTACACCCAAAGCACACCGCATCGCACCACACCGCACTGCACCACACCTCACCACTGGCTAGCTGGGATGGCAACAAACTCCTTGCCGTGCATGACCAGCAGATAATATGCCGAATGCTGCCACCCACCCTCCATGTGCCCCACATACGACGCCTGGCCCGTGTCGTCCTCTAGTAGCAGTGGTCGCGTGCGCGCCTTGGCCTGTAGTGACATGCAAGGTGGGGTGGGGATGGGGGTGACGGTGATGGTGATGGTGATGGCCATAATGAGGTTCGGATAGGCATGGCAGCATGACAGCATGAGCAGAAGGACAATAGCAGCAGTACCGTCCTAGAGTATCAACGGCCACGTGCGCACCTTGGCCTGTAGTGAGGTGCATGGGGTGATGGGCATGGGGCATGGGGGATGCATGGGGGCATGACACCATGCGGGAGGGACAGCAGCAGCAGTAAGTGCAACACAACTGGGTTCAAGGGGATTTTGACAGAACTTGAAACATAGGGGTGGCATAAAACGACAAGAAAGCCACCTGCTCACCCGCGCAGCCTCGGACAGAACTTTCCCAGAAGGTACCCCTTCTCGTTTCATCGTCCACCCCCTCTCGTCGCCTTTTTTCAGCCCGGGCAGCCCTTGCGGAAATTTTCCGATAAAATAGTCTCTGCTGACCGGCTTAACGCGGACTAGGAACTCTTTAACTAGCTTATCCACAACCGCGCCGCACTGCTGACACGTGGCTTGCTTCTCAGCCATGCTCCGTCCGCACGCGTTACAGAGCGACATGTGTCCGCACTCGCTCTGCGAAAGGTCTCCCCCCGCCGCTCCGCACCCGCTGCACGCGGCTGGCGGAAGCGCCTTCTTCGCGGAGGCGGAAGCAGAAGCGCTTCCGCCAGCTCCCCCCGCGGGGCCTGCGGCTCCCGCCGCTCCGCCTGCTGCTGCGCCGCCTGGCTCTTGCTTAACAGGCGGTTTGGCGGCTCCCGCTTGCGGTAATGATTGCGCCGGTCGGCCTGCTGATGGATACGATGCCATGAGCCGCTGCTGGCGAAGATAAGAAACGATTTTTGAGTCGACTCTAGAAACGATTGAACGAATTCGTCGCACAGGTAGGAATTGGCGTTTTTTATTGGTCGAGGATAGTTAAGGAACCGTGATTTACGCGGCCTAAGAAAGCCAATTCGCGAACGGTCCACGTAAGGCCAACTCGCGATGAGGTATTTTCAAGGTATGTCAGTTGGTTGGAGGGATGGTTAATGTAGGAGTGGAGCCGACTCGTTTCCCGAAATTATCCCAGAGAACTTCATTCGGCCTAAGAGAAACATCGCTTTCATGATTACACTACATAAATCCAGATAGATAGGTAGATAGGAGACAGCTCCTAACCATGCCATATACTAGTGTTTATCTATTGACACTAGGGATCCCATCTAGGTGGTAATGAGTCATAATTCAGTGCATTTGTTCAACCAGCGAGTAACCAGCTAGTATTTGGATAGCATGCGGATGGCCGATCCAACAGTGGGGAACGCCTCGTGCACATCTAAGAGCTCATGGAAATCCGAGCCGTCGGTTGCCCCCACAAAGAGCCACTTGGATATCCTCGTTATAAACTCCTCCAGTGTCGGCGACAAGATGGCCTCCCAGTCGAGCTGAACGTCGGGAGGCGGCTTGGCGGTGATCTCCTTGCCGGCAGCTAGGAAGAGGCCGAGCAGGCTGGAGTAGCCAGCCATTGCAGAGCCCCGAGAGAGAGGAGAGAAGTTGTACCTGATGGTGAGGGGTGAGATGGGCATGGGAAAGGTAGGTGGGAGGTGCTTTGAAGCGTCTCAGAGGGCGAGCAGGCTGGAATAGCCAGCCATGGCAGAGCCCCGACTGAGAGGTGAGAAGTTACACTGATGGAGGGTGGTGGTGGGAGGTTGGAAAGGTGGTGGGTGGTGGGAAAGGTGGGAGGAGGGAGGTGAGTGGGAGATGGGAAAGGTGGGTGGGAGGTAGGGGGTGGGCAAATCTCAAAACAAATACAGGTAACATCTAGATTGGCATGCGCTGCATGAAAGTGAGCAGCCTAGGGGTCACCCACCAGAAGATCGCCACAGCTCTCAGTTTTAAGATGTTTCAGCCGAGCAGTCTAGATATAAGGTACCCACCAGTAGTAAACGACGCGCAGACTGTCTGCACCAGCTTGTCGTCCTTGCTGCTTGAAAGGGGGCAGCCTAGGGGTTACCTACCAGCCTAGAGGTTACCTACCAGCCTAGGGGTTACCTACCAGCCTAGGGGTTACCTACCAGCCTAGGGGGTACCCACCAGTAGTAGACGACACGCAGAATGGCGTTCTTCACGAGCTTGTCGTCCTTGCTCTTCTTGGCATCTGCCATCACCTCACACAGGTTCTGTGGGAATGGAGGGGTGGGTGTTGGGTGGGGAAGAGGAGAGGGGGGCATGTCAGAGAGAGACTGGTCCTTGCTCTTCTTGGCGTCTGCCATCACCTCACACAGGTTCTGGTGGGATGGTCGGCGTGGGCGGAGGGGAGGGGAGATTGCAGAGAGGTTTGATTCTTTCTTTCTTTCTTTCTTTCTTTCTTTCTTTCTTTCTTTCTTTCTTTCTTTCTTTCTTTCTTTCTTTCTTTCTTTCTTTCTTTCTTTCTTTCTTTCTTTCTTGTTTGCTTGCTTTTCTTTCTTTCTTTCTTTCTTTCTTTCTTTCTTTCTTTCTTTCTTTCTTTCTTTCTTTCTTTCTTTCTTTCTCTCTTTCTTTCTTTCTTGCTTTCTTTCTTGCTTTCTTGTTTGCTTGCTTGCTTTCTTTCTTTCTTTCTTTCTTTCTTTCTTTCTCTCTTTCTTTCTTGCTTTCTTTCTTGCTTCCTTCCTTCCTTCCTTCCTTCCTTCCTTCCTTCCTTCCTTCCTTCCTTCCTTCCTTCCTTCCTTCCTTCCTTCCTTCCTTCCTTCCTTCCTTGCTTCCTTCCTTCTTCCTTCCTTCCTTCCTTCCTTCCTTCCTTTCTTTCTTTCTTTCTTTCTTTCTTTCTTTCTTTCTTTGCTTGTTTGTTTCTTTGTTTGTTTTGGTGTGTGTGTGTGGGGGGGGGGGGGGGGGGGGGGGGGGGGGGGGGGGGGTTACGTGGTTACACCTTCACATGTTACATGGTTACCACTGCTGTTACCATGTTACACCCCCTCACTTTCCACTCGGCAGTGAGCTCAGCATCGTACTCCTTCCATCAAGAGGGCGTGAGGGGCATGTCACCATGTCACACTGCGGTTACCACGTTACGTTGCTGCTACCACAGTCCTCACCTTCCATGCTGCAGTGAGCTCAGCATCGTACTCCTTCCATCGGGGGGGCGTGAGGGGCATCTTGATGGCAAAGTCAAACGCCCCATCTCCCCTGCACAATGCAGCAACCATGTAGCAAGGGTGAGTGTCTAGGGTTTAGGGGAGCTGAAAATGCGAAGGGTAGTGTTTTCAGACGAACTACTTTTGAGTTGAGACGAGGGAATGGGTGCTGGGGGGATGGTGACAGAGACTGGTGGAGTGACAGTAATCCGGACCGCTGCGAGAGTATGACTGGATTCGTTATAGAGCACTCCAATAAACGAATCTCATCTAGGAGGAAAGCTCTTGCCTGTCAGACGTGGTGAGCATGTGAGCACCTAGCGAAGCAAAGGAGGAATGGGTGGGCCTTACAGCTTTCGGACGGCAAGGGTTGTCCCGTTGAGCATGTAGCTGCGCACAGAAGGGGCGTTGGGAGAAGGGGAGGAGAGGGGGTGGGCAAAGTGGGGGAGCAAGATGAAGCAGGGTGACTTTAGTCCTCATAAGGTCTTTCGGATGGCGAGGGTTGTCCCGTTGAGCATGTAGCTGCGGACAGAAGGGGAATTGGGGCAAAAGAGGGCAAAGGGGGAAAGGGGGGGAGCGGGGGCGAAATGGAGGGAGGGGCACATAGAGAGAGGGGGAGACAGATAGGAACAAGTGGGTAGAGGGAAGGAGGTGAGGGGAAGTTCCGAGGAAGACAAGCCGATTTTTGAGTCGACTCAAAAATCGACAAGTGGGTGGAGGGAAGGAGGTGAGGGGAAGATCCGAGGAAGACAAGCCGATTTTTGAGTCGACTCAAAAATCGACAAGTGGGTGGAGGGAAGGAGGTGAGGGGAAGATCCGAGGAAGACAAGCCGATTTTTGAGTCGACTCAAAAATCGACAAGTGGGTGGAGGGAAGGAGGTGAGGGGAAGATCCGAGGAAGACAAGCCGATTTTTGAGTCGACTCAAAAATCGACAAGTGGGTGGAGGGAAGGAGGTGAGGGGAAGATCCGAGGAAGACAAGCCGATTTTTGAGTCGACTCAAAACTCGACAAGTGGGTGGAGGGAAGGAGGTGAGGGGAAGATCCGAGGAAGACAAGCCGATTTTTGAGTCGACTCAAAAATCGACAAGTGGGTGGAGGGAAGGAGGTGAGGGGAAGATCCGAGGAAGACAAGCCGATTTTTGAGTCGACTCAAAAATCGACAAGTGGGTGGAGGGAAGGAGGTGAGGGGAAGATCCGAGGAAGACAAGCCGATTTTTGAGTCGACTCAAAAATCGACAAGTGGGTGGAGGGAAGGAGGTGAGGGGAAGATCCGAGGAAGACAAGCCGATTTTTGAGTCGACTCAAAAATCGACAAGTGGGTGGAGGGAAGGAGGTGAGGGGAAGATCCGAGGAAGACAAGCCGATTTTTGAGTCGACTCAAAAAATCGACAAGTGGGTGGAGGGAAGGAGGTGAGGGGAAGATCCGAGGAAGACAAGCCGATTTTTGAGTCGACTCAAAAATCGACAAGTGGGTGGAGGGAAGGAGGTGAGGGGAAGATCCGAGGAAGACAAGCCGATTTTTGAGTCGACTCAAAAATCGACAAGTGGGTGGAGGGAAGGAGGTGAGGGGAAGATCCGAGGAAGACAAGCCGATTTTTGAGTCGACTCAAAAATCGACAAGTGGGTGGAGGGAAGGAGGTGAGGGGAAGATCCGAGGAAGACAAGCCGATTTTTGAGTCGACTCAAAAATCGACAAGTGGGTGGAGGGAAGGAGGTGAGGGGAAGATCCGAGGACGACAAGCTTCCATGCGATGGTGCATGCGGCGAGTGTGCTGAGCGTGCGAGAGACGGACGCAGCAAGGGTAGAGGATGGGGATGCGCACATAGAAAGGAAGGAAAGGGGGAAAGGATGTTGGGTTACAGCCAGGACAACTGCAGAATGGCAGATGTAATGGACGGACGAAGGAAGAAAACGGTGCAGGAAGGGTGTGGGAATGGTGGGGGAAGGGTGGAGGAAGGGTGGAGGAGGGGGGGGAAATCTGGGAGGAAGGCAGAATGGGGTGAATGAGTGAGTTTAGGCATTGGGGTGGGGTGGGGGGTCATTGAACTCACTCGGGCTGCGCGGTGGAGAAGCAGGGCACGGTGATGAGGAAGTTCTGCCCCACCACGTTCCACAGCTCCTCTGGTGTCTCTGCGGCTTCAACCTGACCACGTGGGGGGTAAAGAGGGAGGGAGACACGGCAAGAAGCAGGGGCAGCATGGTGATGAGGAAGTTCTGCCCCACCACGTTCCACAGCTCCTCCGGTGTCTCCGCTGCCTCCACCTGCACAGGAAAGGGAGTGAAAGGGGGGGGGGGGTGGGGTTAGGGATCGCACAAGCAGAGGCGGGACAAGGGAATGCTGACAATAAAGCTCTTCTTCCCCACCACCTTCCACAGCTCCTCCAGATCTCCGCTGCCTCCACCTGCATGTGTGCATACAGGGAGAGAAGGGGAGAGATGGGAGAGAAGGGGAAGAGGGATGAGAGAGCGGGGAGGGAGGAAACGGAAAAGAGGGATCAAACGAGCAGAGGAGGAACAGGGGCACGTTCACAAAGAAGCTCATCTGACCGAGCATGATTCACAGCTCCTCAGTAACTCCCCCCCTCTCCACCTAAGCGCACCCAGCATTCGCCACACAGCACCACAAAGCAGCCCCCGTGAGTGAGAACACCCCCTTTCTCACCTCAGCATCTATCTCAACAGCAATCTCGTATTTCTGTGTCAAATCGCCGATCTCCACTGCCCCGTGCTCGTTGGTTGTGCAGAACCCACTACACACAATGGCTCTACGTGACACGCAGCAGCCTTGTATACAAGCACATCCCCACCCTCACCTCAGCGTCCATCTCAACAGGAATCTCGTATTTCTGGGTCAGGTCGCCGATCTCCACTGCCCCCGGCTCGTTGGGTGCCAAGACCACATCATCAATCCAAGCCTCTACAGTACTCCATCCACATGCTTGCCCTGTGTATCAACAAGAACCCCCCTCCCCTTACCCTCACCTCAGCGTCCATCTCAACAGGAATCTCGTATTTCTGTGTGAGGTCGCCGATCTCCACTGCCCCTTGCTCGGTAATTGCGAGGATCACATCACTCCATGGGCTCTACACTACTCCACACACCAGCCTCTGAGCACCACATCACATGGTATCAGCACACACGCACACACACACAGCCGCCCTCACCTCGGCATCCATCTCAACAGGGATCTCGTATTTCTGTGTGAGGTCGCCAATCTCCACTGCTCCCTGCTCCAACATCTCATCCTTGATCAGTGCGAAGGCCCTGGACGAGGGGATGTGAGGGAAAGGAAATGAGGGAGAGGCGTGCAGGAAAGTAAAGGAAGGGTTAGGGGCAAGGAGGAGAGGTGAGACGGGTGGGATGAAGAGGGCACTTCTCCCTGCTACTAGCGCTGTCCCCACTGCTGCTGTCTCCACTGCTGCTGTCCCCACTGCTGTGTCCCAGTGCGTGTCTCCCACCACTGCCTTGCCCTGCGACAGGTCTCCCACCATCTCTCACCTCACGTACCCACCTGTCATAGTTGGCATAGTAACGGAGGTTCTTTGAGAGCACCTGCACTATTCCTGTCACACCTGTTGTCTCCACTGCTGCTATCACCATTGCTGTGTTGTGTTTCAGTGCGTTTCTCCCACCAATGCCCTGCCCATCTCTCACCCCACCCACGCACCCACCTGTCTTACTTGGCATAGTAGCAGAGGTTCTTGGAGTGCCCCTGCACCATTGCTGCTATGTGCACTGCCAACACTGCACTATTCCTGTTAATGCAGTCAAGACTGCTGCTTATCCAACCCACCCACCTGTCATAGTTGGCATAGTAGCAGAGGTTCTTGGAGTGCCCCTGCACCATTGCTGATACACATGCAGTCACACTGCTGTACACAAACAATAGGCCACAGCACCAATCACCAACCCACCTGTCGTAGTTGGCATAGTAGCGGAGGTTCTTGGAGTGCCCCTGCACCATCGCTGTCACGGCGCCAAAGCCCTTCTCAAACTCCTCCTGGCTGCAAGCACCATGTGAGGAGCAGATGAGGAGCAGATGAGGAGCACGGAGGAGAAAAGAACATGAGAAGACGCACAGAGAGAGACACACAGTGGTGAGTGTGGGCCTTGGCAACGAGACACACAGACACAGAAACAGACACAGACACAGTCACACAGAGACCCTAGTGGGCCTCGGAAGGTGCGTGTGTTCTTAGGCCGCTGTTCAACAGTACCACCATTCGCTCATGTGTTACACAGCCAGTGAGTTGAGCGATCCCCAACATCATAGCACCGTCTCCAACCGCACAGCAGCATCACCAAGCGCAGAGCAGCACTCACGTGAATTGGTCGACCCACACGATGGGGTCACAGGGCTCCGAGAGCAGGCGCCAGCGCACCGCAATGGAGTACAGATCCCTCCACCCACCCACCCGCCTTCCTCCCCATCCTTCATACCAACCGCATTGCACCGCACAGCACCATCATCAACAACACAGCAGCACTCACGTGAGCTGGTCGACCCACACGATGGGGTCACAGGGCTCTGACAGCAGGCGCCAGCGCACCGCAATGGAGTACAGGTCCCTCCACCCGCCCACCGTCACCCCTGCCTCCTCGTCCTCCTCATCCTCATCATCCTCCTCATCGTTGTCATAATCGTCGTAATGGTCGCTTCGCCTGCTGCTGCTGCTGCCACCCTTGCCCTGCTGCTTGCTCGCTGCTGCTGCCTGCTCGCGCCACGTGGCCTGTGCTGCCTGCATCATCTCCAGTGCTGCCATGCCTGCTGCGCGGTGCTGGGTTAGTAGGAACGGTGGAGAAGGGTGGAGACGGGTGGAGAAGGATGGAGAAGAAGAGCAAGGGAGACGGGGGACAGGGGGGGGAAGCCTCTCGCGTGGCCTGTGCTGCCTGCATCATCTCCAGCGCTGCCATGCCTGCTGCGCGGTGCTGGTTTGTTCAAGACGGTGGAGAAGGCCGGAAAAGGGCAAGGAAGAAGACATGGGACGAAGCAAGAATGCATCTTGTGCAGCGACTGCATCATTCCAATGCTGTCATGCCGCTTCGCCGAGACGACACATCTCTGGTTGAGAAAAAGCCAAGCCTATCTGGCTCTGAGTGGGCAGATGCCGAGCTTACCTGTCCCTGGTTAGGCAGATGCCGAACCCACCTGTCCCTGGTTGGGCTTGGGCAGATGCTGTGCCTACCTGCCTCTGGTTGGGCAGGAAGCCGGGGGAAGTGTACTGAGTGCGACCACCAACAGTGTCTGCCGCCTTGACAAGCTCCTTCCTGCCCCGCTTCACCTGCTCGCTCACGTGCCTGACATGGCATGATGTATGATGTAGCCAAACCTACTGGCATTTGCCTACCTGCCTCTGGTTGGGCAGGAAGCCGGGGGAAGTGTACTGAGTGCGACCACCAACAGTGTCTGCCGCCTTGACAAGCTCCTTCCTGCCCCGCTTCACCTGCTCGCTCACGTGCCTGATGTGACATGATATGATGTGATGTGTGGTGCATGCATATGAGGTATCATGCATGGTGCATGATGCATGGCATGTGCACGTGATGTACCACGCATATCATGTGTCAGTGCATGCATGCAATGCAAGCGCGCATGCATGCACACACACAGGAACAGCATAATTTGTGAAATCCCTCCTCATGTTCTCCTCCCCCTCTCTCGCATTTCTATTCCCCACTCATATCCTCGTATCTCATGTCCTCCTGTCTCACCCACCTCTCCCGTCGTACGTTTGCAGAGGGTAGGTCGGGAAGAAGCGAATTGCTGTACCTACCTCTCCCATCCTTCTCTCTCAAATCCCCCACTCACTCACCCCCCTATCCGATCTCAGATCCCCATCTCTAATCCACTATTTTCACCTCTCTGGTTTCAACTGGTTGTCAAAGGCCGCACGGTATGGTTGCGGGCGGTAGGCTGGGAAGAGGTCGGTGGGCACGGACCGGCGGGCCCATGCTTGCTGCGAGGGGCAGTGGTGGAGGTGGTGAGGGGGGGAGAGGAGGAGAAGGGGAAAGTAGTGTAAGAACAAGAAGAGGTCAGTTGGTGTGGGCTTTCCCTGGCCATTGCAAGCCTCTCCTCTTGGAAATATCTCGTTTAATTTCTGTAGAAAAAGAAGTGAAGTGTTGACATCTCTTTCTACAAAACCTGAAACCCTTGAATCAACTCTTTGTCTCGCCTTGGGCCCCAAACCCCACCTCAGCTTCTGCCAAGATGAGAGCACAGGTCCTACCTTGAACTCGGGTCCTACCTTGAACTCGGGTCCTACCTTGAACTCGGGTCCTACCTTGAACTCGGGTCCTACCTTGAACTCGGGTCCTACCTTGAACTCGGGTCCTACCTTGAACTCGGGTCCTACCTTGAACTCGGGTCCAAAGTTATCTTCAAAGTCAAAGTCGCGGAGAGGCTTGTTGAGGCGAGACGCTGTGAACTGCGCCACCTCCCTCTGTGCATGAGAGTGAGTGGGTGGGACCGTGGGAGAGAGTGAGCAGGTGAGAGAGTAAGTTCGGGTGAGTGAGGGTTGGTGAGGGTGAGTGAGTGCATGCAAGTGAGTAATTGGCTTAAGTGAGGAACCACGATACAGCACGGAAGAAGAAAACGAAAAACACAAAGCAAGAGGAGAAGGAAGGTGCGAGAGGCATGAACTCTTGCAAGAGATGCATTTTGCAGTGCAGGATGATGAGATGGAATGGCCATATCAGTACCCTCCCTGTGGGAACCGAAAATGAGGGGTTTAGGGTTCGAGATTCTGGGTGTAACGCTGCTGAGAAGAGCCCACCTATAAGCACATGTTTAGGGAGTATCAGACTCCTGAGGGGGTCTCACCTGGTAGCACAAGTTCTTGGGGGTGTAATGCTGATGGGAGCAGCTCACCTGATAGAATGCCATGAAGAGCAAGGGCTGCTCCTCTGTCCGTGTGGGCTTGGCCAATTCTGAGTCGATTCAGAAGTCACCAGGGTTCAAGGCTGCTGAGAAGTGCTCGACTGGTACAAGACGCTCAGGGTGCAAGGGTGGTGAGGGGAGGGGAGGTCACCTGGTAGAAGGCCATGAAGAGTAAGGGCTGCTCCTCCTGCCGGGTGGGCTTGGACAACAGAGCATCGTATGTCACCACCTGGTGGTGTGAGGCGGGGGAAGGAGTGGGGGAGGGCAGGGAGGAAGGAGGGAAGGTGAAATACTGGTGCGGAGTCGGAGCATACTTTCTATCCACCAATGAGAGCATGAGCATCATATGCAGCATGCATCATCTCTCCACCCTCTCACCGGGTCCTGCAGCTGCCCCAGCGCATGGTGGCACGACCCCTTGATGTAGTGCCCCTCCACATTCAAGGGTTGGCTAAGGTTTAGGGTTCAAGGCTAAGATCATCACATGCAGTACACGCACCAGCTCCAGCGCATGTCTGCAAACAGTGAGGTGGGAGAGAGAAGAGGAGGGAATGCTGAGAAGCCTCCTTTTTGTTCTTCCGCTCCAGCTGCATTGCCACCCGCACCAGCTCCAGAGCATGTCTGTGTGAGGTGTGATGGGGGAGAAAGAAAGGGAGGAAGGGGAGGGGCAAGGATCGACGAAGGGGGCGCAGGAGTGGGCAGCTGCAGGGGGCAGAGTGGGCAGCTGCAGGGGGCAGAGTGGGCAGCTGCAGGGGGGAGAGGGGGTGGGCAGCTCCGGCCTGAAAGTGCTGCAGTTTCCTGTTGATCTGGTGGTACTTTTGAGAAATCTCTAAATTAACACCAATACAGCTCCAGGTTGAGAGCGCTGCAGTTTCCCGTTGATTTGGCGTACTCGAGACTGGCTATTGCTATATGATCATGAACTGGGGCCGTGAGCCCAAGGCGGCTGTGAGCTGATGTGCACATTCGGGGTATGGTTGGGATGACAGGGCACGGACTCACTTGTGGTCGCCCATGGCGTGCTCGAGAAGCGCCCACGGAGAAGCATGGGCGCAGTTGGGAAGGCATAGCATGGCCATAGACTGCGTGTGCAGGACACATCCACCCACACACTCACTTGTGGTCGCCCATGGCGTGCTTGAGCAGCGCCCACATGCGGTATGCTTGGGCCCCGGGGACAGCCGGCTATGATGGATTATACGCGTTTAGCGTATATATGCGTATCGTATATACGCTAGCGTGTATACGCCATACGCTTGAGGGTCGGATCAGGCATACGCTTTTTCGGGCAGGGAAAAAAACATTTCGGGCAGGGTGGAAAAAAATTACCCCCTATCTCATCTCACTAAGACGTGCCCTAGCATTTTCATGAGCCCGATCGGCGGGTGGGGTGGGGCGGGGAGTAGACATCATAGCTAGAGGGAGTAGTGTTGGAGAGGCTGTTCAAGTTGGAGTGCGCGGGGACACTGCTGCAAGCAGGAATGCAAGGTAGGAAATCACGGGTTAGGAGTTGGGTTGGCTCGTAAGTAGCGTGAGATTTGTTGGGGGTTCGATTTTGATAGGTTGGGGTTCGTAGATAAGATGGTTTTCAATGCGGTAGAGGGGATGGGTTCAAATGCCTAGATGGGACCTGAAATTCGACATTTGAATAGCCAGATGTGCCTGAAAACTTCAAAGTCAGATCCCAGCTTGCATAGACCGCGGATTTGCATTTCGACTTCGGCAAAATGCTCACCAAGAAAATCCGCATCTTTTCTGCGATTTCACTTTCCCGGGCTGCCCGAAATTTTTTATGGCTGCGTATCGCGTATTCGCTAGCGTTTAGCGTATTGCGTGTACACGCTAGCATAGATACACTAAACGCAAAGGGTCTAGAGCGTATAATCCATCATAGACAGCCGGGGACAGCTGGGTTGAGGGGGGAGACTAGACTACACTAGGTTGGGTATGAGGGAGGGACACGTGCACGGACTCACTTGTGGTCGCCCATGGCGTGCTTGAGTAGCGCCCACACGCGGTACGCTTGGGCGAACCTGGGAGGAGAGGGAGGGGCATGGGGGCATGGATCAAGGCATGAGGCATGGAAGTATGGAGGAATGGGAGTGGGTTTGGAGCAAGGGAATACAACTGACGAGATCCCTTGCTAACCTGGGCTCCACCTGGGTGGCCTTCCGGTAAGCCTGCTCAGCCCTATCAGGCATGGCCAGCTCCTTGCCGGCCTGCCCCATGTACAGCCACGCCATCCATGCCATTGCTGCACCCATGCCATTCAAAGACCCCTCTAAACCGACTCCAACCCCACATGAACCGCACTCACCTTGGCTCCAGCTGAGTGGCCTTCCTGAAGGCCTGCTCGGCCCTATCAGGCATGGCGAGCTCCTTAGCCGCCTGCCCCATGTACAGCCACGCCATCCTGTTGCCGGGGTTCTTATCCACCACCTTCTCGTATATCTCCATCGCCTCCTCTGTTTCGCCCAGGCCCACCAGGGACTCCGCCTGCAGTTCAGGGATGCGCGCACGGGAGAGGGAGAGGGAGAGGGAGAGGGAGAGGGAGCAGGGGAGTGAATGTGTGCACAACGTGGGAGGAGGGCAGAACAGAGTGCATGTGGAAAGGGTGTTCTTCGAGTCTGCTGCTACAAGCTTCTCGTATATCTCCATCGCCTCCTCTGTCCCTCCCAGCCCCACCAGGGACTCCGCCTTCAGGAGGAGAGAAGGGAGGGGGGAAACCGAGTGAAAGTGCAATCTCCCTGTGTTGCCCAGGTCGCCTGCCAGCCACAACCCTCTCTGTTCCTCCCAGCCTACCAGGGATCCAGTCTGCAACGAATGCACACAGAGGGGGGAGGAGGGAGGGACAGAGTGCACCCACCCACCCACCAGACCAGAGCAACGGAATGTAGAGAGAATGTCAGGTCAGGCCAGTTATCAAGCACAGCACAGAAGCACCTACCAGAGCAACGTGTGCCAGCACCTCCTTGGGCATCACGGCAATCACTGCCCTCAGATCTTTGGCTGCCTCGTACAAGGCACGTTCAGCACTCTATCTCAGCAGTGCAGCACGCAGGGACCGTCAGAGCCTGCACTCTACCTCTCAACACTTATGCTCCCACTCACCAGAGCAACGTGTGCGAGCTCCTCCTTGGGCATCACGGCCACCACAGCCCTCAGGTCCTTGGCTGCCTCATAGAATCGCCGTGCCCTCACGTACACCATGCCTGGAGAGGGGTGGTGGGCAGAGGCAGAAATGGTGTGGTGATGAGCAAATTGACGAACATAAGCATCAGTTATGGTGACAGCATAAAAAAAAAACAAAGATAACTGATGTGTGGCAAGGTCGCAAGCCTCAAGAAGCATTCTGTCCTCATCGCTGCAGACTCTTGCCCCTCTCTTCTCCCTTCCCAACCATACCCGCCCCACCCCATCCCTCCCTCCGTATCTCCTCACCTCGCTCCATGAGCAGGTCCATCTGGCCCTTTTCCAGGCTGAGCGCTGTGGTGAAGTCCTCTAAAGCCTGATGAAGGGTGGGAAGCGAGGCATGGCGAGGGAAAGAGAGGCACGAAACGAGATGTGATGATGGGTTTGGGAAGGAACACGTGTGTGAAGAGGGAGGGACATGGCCACCCTGCAGGAGCAGGAAGCACCGATTCCTTAGACCTTGTTGACCTAACTTATTGTCCCTGCTATTGTTGATCTTAAACACAACACAGTGCACAAATCCGAAATCCCAAAATCGACCTCCGCGATTGGCACCATGCATCACATCCTATACCCAAAACCCGTCGACGCACCCGAAACTCCAATTCTTTGACACATCACATACCACCCACCCTTCTAGCCCCAGAATCCGAGCAGCATCAACTCACTCACCCCGTCCACCTCCCCTATGGCAGCTCGGGCCTGGGCCCTCCTGCGCCACGCATCCACCATCTTGGGCTCCAGCTCGCATGCCTGGCGTGGGAGAGCAAGATAGGGTGGAGAAAGGAGAGCGATGGTGATGGCAGTGGGATGCAATCCAATCAGTGAGGCACCTCATGGTGCCCTGGGCTCTCCTGCGCCACGCGTCCACCATCTTGGGCTCCAGCTCGCATGCCTGGCGTGGGAGAGCAAGATAGGGTGGAGAAAGGAGAGCGATGATGATGGCAGTGGGATGCGGCACAGGAAAGAGGGGGGTAGGCAGAGTCTAGGGTTTAGGCGGAGCACCAGAAAGAAAACGAGTGGAAAGAGAGTGAATTCCCGTGGGAAAGACACCCACCGAGAAGGTGCGGGGGGTTCCTTCGTGGCATCTCTGTTAGTTATCATTTGTTTTCATTCCATAGGCGCGACTTCTGCACCACCACCAGAGAGCAATCCTCCATGGCGTCGGTGATCTCCCCCAAGAGCGCATAAGCGGTGCCTCAACTGCTAGCCACGAGACGTTATTTGAGGCACCTCAACAAACCATGCCATAGAGTAATGCTTTATGGCGTATTTAAACTTGCCTAAGGATGCATAGGCGGCGGTGCCTCATTAATCTATAGGCACTATATGAAACAACTCAAGCACCCACACCCACCAGAGAGTAATCCTCGATGGCCTCTTTCATCTTGCCCGAGAGCGCGTAGGCGGTGCCTCGGCCAATGAGAGCCGGCGCACTGTTGCCCAGCTCGTCTAGAAGCTGCAGAGCGAAGGGGAGGGACGGGGGAAGGGGAAGGGTGGGGGGAAACAAAGGGGCGCGGGTGGGGGAGCGTGTAGGCGGTGCCAATGAGAGCCGGCGCACTGTTGCCCAGCTCGTCTAAGAGCTGGCGGGCGGAAGGGGGTGGGGGGTGGGGGGTGGACGGGGAAAGGGGTAGGTTGGTGGGGGGACGACGAGGAACGTGCGGCTGTGTCCAGGGGTGAGGGAGAGGTGAAGGGGGGAATGAGGGAGGGGCGGGGGGAAGGGGGGAGGGGAGGGAGGTGGGACGAGAATGGAACGGGGACTGGTTCTGCAGGTGGGGTATGCAAGTGGCCATTCGCAAACGAGGAATGTTGATGTCACAGCAGAACGCTAACGTCATAGCAGAATGTTAATGTCATAGCAAAAACGTTGATGTGAGGGTAGAGAAGACGTGGGTTACATCATACTACAGAGAGCAAAGGATTCTCACAGGGCAAAGGCAAGTCAGTTTTCATGCCAGAGTGAAGGTGTTGATGGCCTCGTCGAACTTCTGCTGGTTGACCTGCTGCACGCCCGGGTTGATCATCACTTCGTTGCCGTGTCTTTCACTCTCACATACCAGAGTGCTAGTGTTTCTCACAGAGCAAAGCGGAAGTCACTTCACTCTTTCATACCAGCGTGAAGGTGTTGATTGCTTCGTCAAACTTCTGCTGATTAACCTGCTGCACGCCCAGGTTGATCATCACTTCGTTGAACTGCCGCGTCATCACGTTCCCGCCCCCCCCAGGGGCCATCATCGTCCCCCTGTTGCCCTTCTTCGGCTGCTGGTCCAGCGCCGTTGGCGGAGCCACGAGGGGCACGAAGAAGGGGAGCGGGGGGAGCAGCGCGCGGCGCAGGCAGAGGGAGAGGCGGGACTCGTCCGCCAGGGGGAGCGGGGGAACTGGGTCGCGCAGCATTACGGAGACGGGCTGGGACATCGGCGCGCCCATGGGGAACAGGCGCGCGCCTGAGCGGAAAGAGAGAGCGGAAGGGAGTTTTGGTAGAGAATTTTGAAAAGGCGCGTGGAAATTCCAACTAGAAGCTTGCGACTAAAAACATGTCGTAGAAGGATTTGACCAACTTATGCGTGAAGATGCATTGAAGAAAATAGATGAGACAAGTTAATATGAGCATCAGTACAGCGGGAAGCTTACCGAGCTTCAGGAGCACCTCCCCGCACAGCGCATCACGGAGAAACGCCTGACCGGCCGGATTGCCGTCAGGGTCGCTCGCGAACGATCGGCGAAATCTGTTCTTGATTCGCGGGAAGTTGTAACAGAAGTTGTCATTACTGCGAGCGGCAAACGATGGATATTATCAACATTGACGTCAGCCAGAGCGAGTTTCTTATTATTACAAAGCGAAGCAGGTCACGGTATGAATTGGGTCGACACACAAATAGTGCGAAGCCTTGCAATGCAGGTACAGGAATGTTGGAAAAATCATGGAATATGACAATGACCAACGACCAGGGCCGGAATGGGGAGGAAGGCAGCAGTTAGTTGAAGCAATGCGAGGTGGCCTTCTAAGACTCACGACGGATGCGACGGCTAGAAATGCGGTGGATTGCAGGACAATGCGCGAAAATGTGCCAGCTGGACGCGGTCAGTCGAGCACGCACCAGAAAATGCGGGTCATGCTGTAATGCTCCTGCACGGCGCTCGCGACCACGGCGACGGTGCGCGACAACTCCGAGGAGTCGCATCCCCTGCGGGTCGGCGTGAATCCAGCGCGTGTGCTTATAGCGGGCATGAGGAGCGTGGTGGTGGAAAACGGCAGCACGGAACAGAGGGTGAAGTTGAAAGCGAGGCATACGAAGGCCTCGGTTACCCCCATTTTGACAAAACGTCAAGATCCTCTACAGAAATCTTAATCAATGTCTGCAGAAGTCGGTCAGTCTGACATTGCTACGGCCCACCAAAGTAGGTCCAGGCCACTATTTTGGTCCTGGACATGGAAATTATTGTTAGGGCTGCCTGTGCAGGCTCAGGGAGTGTCCAGCGCGTACATTTACCGTTCATAAATCCTATCAGTTACCACATTTGGAGTTGTAACACTGCATTTTACTGAAAGGGTGGACATGACCAACAATTGTACATGAGACGGCACGCCAGCTGCACGTACCTCGAGTCGTGTGACTCACGGTACTGCATACAGCGTGCGCGCGAACTCGGGTACAGTATCGCGTCCAACAAGCTACAGCAAGTGCCCCCCTGTATTGCTCGCAATACTTCGCCAGTGCCGCGCGACTCTCGCCGAAACCACCTGCGCGCTGGCAACACACATTGCGCATGTGCGAAAAAACCAACCATACTGTTCACGAGGGAACCGGTTACCTCGGTTTCCAGGTTGTTTTCGCACTGTTGATCTTTGTGTGGGTGGAAATGTGTCCGCGCGCTGGAAATTCCAGAAACTGTGGACTCGGCTCAGTTGGCATTCGTTTTGAGGTACAGTGGTCAGTCTTGAACCCTGAGACGTGTGTGGGCTCTAAAAATCCCGAAATGAACGCGCTGGACACGCCCTCACTCAATCCCTTGGGAGGAAATGCTGATTTCGTTTTGGATGAATCTTGGGAACTCCTATCCTATCTCTCCTCCGCCCTCTCTCTCTCGATTCGGCCAGAGTGACAAGACGAGATGATGGTCCAGTTCCTGGGACCTTGACCAGCTTTCATGTAATGACCCCGTTGAGTGTAGACCAGACATATATTTGTGATCCACAATAATAATGTCATCCATTCTTGCTCATATAAAACGTTACAACTCATATATTTCGCTCACACCAACATAACCCTCGTGACAAGGCATTCTCATGTGAGCATGTTTGAACTGCCAAACTGTACTCGGCCAGCATTGAGTTCTAGATTTCTGAATACGTAACCTCCTAATGTACGCCAATATATCATCTAATTTCTGCATGCAAGGAGACGTACATGTGATGCATCATATAATTGAATCTACCGAAACACTATAGTAAATGTAAATCATACATTCATGCACTTGATATTTTCTACCTTTCCTATACCAAAGTGAGTTGTTGTATAGGCAGTGATTGAAAATGGTGGCGAAGAGTTGCTGACTCAATGCATGAGAACTGTTGCTCCCTGATCGTGGCTGCCACGGTCGCTATTCGGCCCCAGAATCTGGGCGAGCCAAGGTGCGCTGGATCTGCCGCACAGTGCCAGGTCACATTGGACCTGTCACAGAGCCACGGTGGCATGGGCGGGAGAAAAGGAGTTACGGGAAGGTGTGGAGCATATTCGCATTCAATACGTCACGGTTCTGCTCGGTTTGTTGCACTACAAGCAAACTCTCCTAAGAACCGTGTCGAATCGAGATTAACCTTATTGAACCCCATGCGATGAGCACAAAGCAAATGTGGTTGACATTACTCCCCTCACGAGCGAAGCAGTTGCAGTGGGAAATGGGAGGTAAGCGGAGATGTCCAGTTGATAACAGATTCTCCATCTCGTTCCAAAACAATTATAGCTTCTGAATCCCTGCACACATCTCTTACCAGTTATTGTCAGCAGTCTTCGCCACCAGTCTTCGTCTCTATCTTCCAAGGTTTTCCTCCGACCTTTTTTCATCTCCAATCATAACTATGGGTCGTAAGTTCATCGTCGGAGGCAACTGGAAGTGCGTAAGTATCTGTCCATTGCTGCTGACATGTAGACTCGTCAGATCCGGATGCTGAGTTTACCATCCTCGGACCATTTCGCAGAATGGCACCCAGGAGTCTATCAAGAAGCTTGTTGGCGTGCTCAACGGCGCTACTGTTCCCAGTGGCGATGTCGTCGGTACGTGCTGTCCAATCCCTAAGTACAGTAAAATCAAAGGCCGTCCTCATGTTCCTTCAAACTGCATGCGCGTCGATTGTTTCGGAAGCCTTTTCACCATCGTTGTTTTCACATTCATTCTCTGACATTCTCTCCTTCACTGCCGGTGGATTCGTTGCTCCGTCTCTTCCAGAAGTCGTCATCGCTCCTCCCGCCATCTACATTCCTCTCGTGAAGGCCGAGCTGCGCAAGGATTTTGCCGTTTCTGCTCAGAACGCCTGGGTCAGCAAGGGCGGTGCTTTCACCGGTGAAGTGAGGTACGTGCCCATCCTGTCTCCACCCTGCTTGGTTGCAAGCAATCTGCGTAATCTGCGTCTGAAATGAGGTCCACATTACGTCTTAGATTCTGACATTGCTTACCCTTCTGTCTTTTCAGTGCTGACATGCTTGTGGATCTCGACATTCCCTGGGTCATCCTTGGCCACTCTGAGCGGAGAACCATCATAAAGGAATCCAACGAGGTCAGTCTCCCTGCTTCTCAACACATGTCGTCCCTTTCTGTGACCTGCCTTTTGAGGATGCGTTCTTGGTGCTTGTTGATGGTGCTTATCTTACAATCTTCTTTTGCTTGACGACGTGCAGTTCGTCGCGGACAAGGTCGCGTACGCTCTGGGCAAGGGCCTGAAGGTGATTGCATGCATTGGCGAGTCTCTGGAGCAGAGGGAGAGCGGCGAGACTGTCGCCGTCGTCTCCGCTCAAGTCAAGGCCATTGCAGGTCCGTCTGCTGCGTGCTCGCTTTGTGTGCATTCCTGTCTGCATTGTTATAGATCCGCGTCGTACCCCTGCGTGGGATCGTTTGTTTCCGCGTATTTTGGGGTCGGTCTCTGTAGCAGTGATTAAACCGTTCTGTTTTTTCGTATGCAGACAAGATCACCAAGTGGGACGATGTCGTTCTCGCGTATGAGCCCATCTGGGCCATTGGTACCGGCAAGGTCGCCACGCCTGCTCAAGCCCAGGAGGTGAGTTCTGCTTTCTATTCCAGAAAGGTTTTGGAAACAAACAGTTTTTTAAAAGCAAAAGAACTGAACTGTATGATAATCACGCTGTCCTCGCGGCGTTTATGCTTGCAGACGCATGCTGACATCCGCAAGTACATCGCTGAGAACGTCAGCGCTGATGTGGCAGCTGCTATCCGGATTCAATATGGAGGTGAGGGGTTGAAACTCGAGCACGTAGGGTGGACTGGTATTTGGCGTGCTCCTCATGATTGACATGATTGATGTTTCTTTTCCTGCATTAGCGATTGCCCCGGTGCACGTGGTCCAGTTTGCATAGGTCAACAGCTGAAGCCATCTCAAACTTTTGCACAAATTTTCTTTGTCCTTGTATATGTGATTCACAGGCTCTGTGAACGCTGCTAACTGCAAAGAGCTCGCTGCTCTTCCTGATGTCGATGGCTTCCTTGTTGGTGGAGCTGCCCTCAAAGTATGTATCTTTGTCTTGTGTGGTCAGTTGTGCACACACATTCTCTTCCGTTTTACCGTAGCTTTATCTACCATACCTCGTCTTATGTCTTTAAAGCATAGCTAACTTTGCCATTGTTGTGTCCTTGCGCAGCCCGAGTTTGTTGACATTATCAACTCTGCCACTTCTTCTTCGTAGAGTTGGGTGTGTATTGTTCAAATACAGCAATATATTAGCAAGATGTACTCCAACCACCTGATGATAATCACGCTCCTATTGATTGATGTGTTGGCGGTGCATTGTGCGGGCCAAGGCCTTCCCGGAAACACCCTTCCCCTGGCAACCTTCAATGCAGGGACGTCGCTAGGATCTAAGGGTACCTGATGGAGCAGACGGGCCCTTCGGGCCCGTCTGCTTCATCAGTAGGATGAGTGCTTCCCTGTCTGTTTGATCAGGAATTTTCAGAAATTTTGTCTGTTGTGTCAGATTACGGTGCACTTGCATTTCTGTTTCATTTTTTTTTGGGGGGCATACTGGCATTTGCTGAAATCACTCACTTGTACAAGTTCAGTATAAGAACTATCACCTCACAAGAGTATATTAGTAAACTTCAAACTAGGTGTTACATTACATCTACTCTACTCTACTCAGTATCAGAGTCTAGCGCCACTGTGGCACGGACATCAAGCCCATTGT